TGTGGGTTACTATAGCACTTATGGCTAATCATGGACTAATTAGACTCAAAAAATTCGTGTCGCGATTTCCTCCCTAACTGTGCAATTAGTTTTTTCATTTATCTATATTTAATGCTTCATGCATGTGTCCAAAGATTCGATGTGATGTTTTTGGGAAAAAAATTTGGGAAACTAAACTGGGCCTAAGTGGTTTCAATTGATGAAGTGACTAGGAGCTTTCAAAGAAAGAATTGACGTCCAAGGACAAAGGGTGCAACCTAACAAAGGCGAAAGCACCGGGAAAATTCCTAGCAAACCTTTGACTTGGAGGCGAGATGTATGGACTTCATAAAAGTAAAACCATACTCCATTTAGCAAAGCTAATATATGTGGTGCTTATAAATTAGCGGTCAATTATCGGGTTCCAGACAAGGCATTTAGTGCTATGTGAAATCTATAGAGGATAGTTCTCATGATCATTAGAGACATGAAACTTTTACCTCGTAGATCTCGTTTGGAACACATGAATTACGTTAATTCGGAAGAAACAATCTAATTTCCACAAGAATTTGGAAATTTTTCCGAAGCTCCAAACATGGCCTTATTAGAACCCTGTACTGGTGTATCCTCTAGTAACAACACTAGGACTAAGCGAAAAGACATATTTACAAACAAAAAATAATTTGTAAATAAAACTTCTATATACGTGTTCTTAGCGATCTAAAAACAAAGGCTGAAAAAATAAACTACGATGAAAAAAAATCCCAATATCAACTCCAAATTTAAGGTTGAAAATTTAAATTTTGGCTTATAAGCATAAAGCATAAACAAAAAATGAGGCTGCTATTTTCTTGTTCCTTGGATACTCTTTGAACATACGAATTGGGTAGTTACTAGTACTAGTTAGGCATCTTAGACTAAAAATCCCTGCTTCCTTCCCACCAATCCAATGTTGAAAGGTCAAGATTATTGATGGGGCCCAGTACTCACCAAATCCCAACCAAACCCTATCCTCTTTCCATCCATTTCTATTTTGTATTATCCTATATTCACATGTGGTAAAATAGTGACATGAAACTGATAGGTAAATACTCTAGTGCCAAGACCAATAGGTCATTTTCTTAGGCTAACAAAGCTGTTCTCACTACGTAGAGTTTGCAAATACAATGGCCTTGTTCAGCTGCAAGATGCAGCCGCTGACACAAAGTACTATGCATGCTGGCTGCGCCACAACCGAACAAGTGTAGCCGAGCAGGGCCAATATTTTTTTCATTATATAATAATAATAGAGTAACGCATTACTATTTGCTGATGAAAGAACATGCCACATCAATATTCTATTATAGTATTCTTTTGAAACATTTTTTTGAGTGTGTATGCTTGTGCATCTTCTCTGTAATAAAAAAGAAAAAAGAAAATCGATATCCATGGAGGTAAAAAAAAAAAAAGTAAACCTTCCATGAATTGCCTTTCATCAAATTAAAATTGTCCCCCAAAGACATGTCGTTGAGCAAGCTAAACTATGCAACACAGTAAAATTCTTACTGAGTTTTGCCAAGCTTTGAAGCAAGTTAAGGTTGATTTCATTGTAATCTAAATACTGTAGATCACAAATGAAACAGCAATCTTAGGCAAGCAACAGGTGTTCAATCAAAACAAGAGCCCCTCCCCTCTCTCTCACTATCTCATAATGCTTCATTAGAAAAAGGAGGTAGCAGAGAGTGTGTGGTAGATATGTTAATTATCAGGGAGCATGTGGGTATGTGACGACGGAGTGGAAGAAGAGAATATCAAGTCAACTCTTTGACCCATGTCATCACGTAAGCTCACACGTCACCCCTCGTCCGCATACGTCAGCTGGGCCCCCACTCCAGTGCTCGGCTCAGCTGCTCTTGCTGGCTCGAGCCGAGCCATTCGCATGTAGTACAAAATTTATACTCGAATAAATTTGTGGATATATTCTAATTTCTCGCAAAAAAAATAAGAAATTAAAAGGTATCAACAATAATTTGTGATACGTATATACTGGAGAGAACTGATGAAACAATTCGTAGCCACACATCGTTGTAGTAAGTACGTCGTACACAAGATGCTTTATGTTGTCAACTCAATAAAAGTTTGAATACAATTTGTACTACATGAGTTTTAATCCCAGGTGCAGTCACGATCATGTTGAAAACCACCAAACAGCACAGTCCAGTCGCATTTGACCTTCAATTAGTCAGAGACGTGCAAACTCAAACAAACAAATTAATACTAATATACATATCTCTCTTGGTGATCGGGTAGCTAAGACGGAAGGAGACAAGACAACTGGTAAGTGCTTTGCTTGGCTGCCGTTTTGACACACCAAATTAATCTTCTTTTGACCAAGACAAACAAGCAGCAACATTTTTAGATCGAAATCCACATGTATAGTAGAGTTCGTGCTTATGTGTATAAATATTTTCACAATCACTTGTCATTCTCACTTGCATATCTTTCAGATGGAATTTTTGTAAGTCTTTTGAAAATTGTGTGTGTATATCCTCGCGGTGTCAAGGATGGAGGTTATACTTCCTTTGTAAAAAAAAAGAAAAAAAACATTAAATCTTAGATCAATCCGCGTGTACGATATATATTTGCGCATTTGTATATCTACACAATGAGTTGTCATTTCTCACATACGACGGTATATATGTTTTGTAATTCACACGTCTTTTCAATGGAACTTCCATAAATCTTCTGAAAGTTTCACAAACATATGGCTAGTGTCAAATTAGGCTTCAAAGGGGCACGTGGTGAAGAGATTCAGCTCACCTAGCTCATCCACGTCCCCATCTTAGCTACTCTTTCATCTGGGCGGGAAAGAGGGAGAGGACGACGCTGATGACGAAGACGAAGAAGAAGAAGAAGAGAATACGGTAAAAAGGAAAAAAAATAAAAAGGGTTAATATACCGACGAGAAGACGTCGTTTTTGGTCTTTTTGGCACTGAAGCTTCGTGGCTATAGCTTGCAAAAGTTCCTCTGAATTTGTGATCGATCTCGTCGTCGAGCTCCTTTGTCGAATTCACATGTAAAATGCTTGCTGTGTAAAGGGTAGACAGCGCTCTATTTGGTGACCGACGACCAAATTAAAGAAATTATTCGCCGGCCGTCTCCGATCACTGGCTGCTTGCACATATGCTGATATGCATTTTTCATGTTCAGCTCTCTCAAGATAGCAAGAATATACACCCTCCGTCCCATAATATAAGAGATTTTAGATGGATGTGATACATCTCAGTACAATGAATCTGTACTATAATATATCATATCCATCCAAAATCCCTTATATTATGGGACGGAGGGATCGGAGTAATAGCTAACTTGTGATGCGGATCGGGGTCCATTCATACGCGTGTTTTTAACATGATTGATCTAGCTGCTATTTCTGAGTTATCATCATCGTTGCCATCGCAAGATCTCGATCTATCGTGCATCTATCATAACCCACGCACAACAGTGCTGAACCTAAAACAAAAATTACCGAAGATGTTATACACACAATGATATAATTATTGACTAATATAGCAATTAACATGGTATAAATTGGATATAGATGATCAATCTAGCTGAAGTCATGTGCAAGGTTCACAAAACCAATCTTTGCGCGAAAACCAACCGGTTTTTGTGAAACCGTTGGTACTCGGTTTGTGGAAGCCGAACGGTATTAGCTGATTTTTGTACGGTATTGACTAATATAGCAATTAACATGATATAAATTGGATATGGATGATCAATATAACTGGAATCATGTGCACCCGGGAAGATGCGCATTTAGGTATTACGCCACTGCGCACCACTAGCTACTTCCATTTCTTTTGATTTCTTCAGTTACCAACAAATTATTATACTGCATTCCGAGTATATACGAAACAATAGAATAGAGATAAAAAAATCCATTTTATAAACTTAAACTTGAACCAAAGGTCCAAAAATCAGCCATAATTTTATTTTATCTTTTTACCAAAACCATTTGTCCTTGAAGGTTGTGCTAGAGAGGTGTGAATTTTGTTTCTTATTTCGAAAGATTAGCTAAAAAATTGAAAAATCAAAATATGGTTTTCAGAGTAAATTTCTTATTTTTTTAAAAAAAAAACGTACCAATGTGCTTTCGGAAAAAGAGGAAATAGGAGGGTAGAAGGCAGCCCAAATCGTTCGACAGTGGTGTGAGAATGAGATCCAAGCAACTCTACTCCTGTTCAAGTGAAGCCAACGTACACATGTACTGCATCCTGCACCGGTGTGCCCGTACATGGTTATAGTACTACTAGTAGTTATCGCACGCTGGTCGCCGGCGCCATCAACGGGCGACATCACACTATGCAGCCGAGCCGACAGCCGACGATGACGACAACCAAATCAACCAAAACCCCACCCAAAAAAATGTTAAAAGGATTAGCACAAATGTGAACCAAATTAATCTCTTTCGGAAAAGAAATGAAAAATAAATACTCCCTTTATTCCAAAATATATAAAATTTTGAATAGATATTATTATAAATCAAACCTATTCAGATTTATAGTATTATAATATTAATATGTCTAATCAATCTAAAATCTCTTATATCTTACCATCTTCATTTCAAAATATAACAATCTCTAACTATAAATTTTAGACAGACATTTAATCTAGATTTATAATTAAAAATATTTATATTTTAGAACAACTAGATTTATAGTTATAAATGATTATGTAGTAAAAAGATGTGAAAAGAGGAAGGAGAGAAGCTGCCTCAAGCCAACGGCGCCATCTCCTCTCCTCAGTGGGTGGGCCCCACCCCCTCGACCTTTCGAGGAAACCCCGCTTCTTCTTCTACTTCTCTCTCCTCCTTTGGTCAGCCAACCCCCCGCTTCCAGAAGGCGACCACGCGCCAATCCCGACCGTCCGATCTCCACCCCCAATCCCATCCGACGGCTGAGATGACCCCTCCCCCACCCGTTTGACCCGTCGCCGCCCACCCTATAAGTAGCCGCCCTCCTCCACCGCCTCGAGAACTCTCCACACTCCAGCCATGGGCGACGCCGGCGGCGGCATGGCGGCGCACTGGGCGGCGCTCTACGGCGGCGGAGTTAATGGTGGCGCGGCGGCGGGGGCGGAGGGAACGGTGTCGAGCCCGACCTCCGGGGGCTCGCCGGTGGCGGGGGGGAGCCCGACGAGGGGGGGCGCGGCGGCGCTGCCGGGGATCGAGGGCGGGCGCGTCGCGAAGCCCGCGCGGCGGCGCTCCAGGGCGTCGCGGCGCGCGCCCGTCACGCTGCTCAACACCGACACCTCCAACTTCCGCGCCATGGTGCAGCAGTTCACCGGCATCCCCACCCCGCCCTACGCCACCGCCGCCGCCGCCGGCGGCCCGGTCATCAGCTTCGGCGCCGGCGAGTACGGCGGCGGCGCCATGCCCGTCCGCCCGTCCCCGACACCGGCGTCCGTCATGTCGTTCGACCACCTCGGCCACCACCACCGCCAGGCGGCGTCGTCGCTGCAGAGCCAGCTGTTCCGGCCACAGCACCAGCACCACCACCAGTACGGCGGCGGCGGCGACGTCGGGTACGGCGGCGGCGGCGGCGACATGTTTCTCCACGGGTTCGAGTCGTCGTCGGCGGAGGAGAGGCTGCTGCTGCAGAGCATCCAGGCGGCGCAGATGCTGCCGGCGGCGAGGCCGACGACCACCTCGGCTAACAACGCTAATGGCTACAACTTCGGATGATTAATTAGCCAACCTCGCACTTGATTAGTTTGGGTAATTAAGGTAAGCATCAAGTGCTAATTAGAGAGAGAGAAATTGAATTAAAGATGCCATTAGTTAAGGCTCTTTAATTACATGATCAACCAAGCATCATATGGATTGCTTGATTATTTCTCCTCTTTTGTCTGCACCATGATGTTGTTTTAATTTTAATTTTTAAGGTTTTATTTTTGTTGGCCTTTGCTGTAGAGAGATATACCCAGATTAGCAAGGCTGATTAAGTTCTTTATTAATACAGTAATTAGTGGTAGCTTAGCTAGATGTGAAATGGAATGAAAAGCATGTAAATATTTTCTCAACACAGTACTTTGGTTAATTTTGGTGTGTAGCAAGAGCACTTTTGGTGATCACCACTAGTGCAAAAACTTGATATTTAGTGAGGAATCTTTCTCCCTTTCTAGATTGCCTTGCTTTGGAAGCAAAGTTTGAGGATGCTACTATATCCTCTCCTAATCAAGTCGCGACGCGAATTAATCACATGTTGTTTTCTCGAATAAAAATGTGCTTTTCTTTCTGCCTACCAACCCAACCCATTGGGTTTGATCGATATTTTGTTCTCTTCTATATAAATATATTCTTTTCCGAGTTATATCTTAGTCGCTGAATCATCACATATATAACAATACATTTTTTAAGCTATGTCTTGATCCATCATATAAATAAGCTACATCTTAACCGCTGAGCCATCATATATGTGTAATATACTTCACCCATCCCAAGATATAAGAGATTTTGGATGGTTGGGATATTTAATATAAAACTGAACTTCCTATCTAGATTCGTAGTATTAATTAGGAGAATTCAGTTCCGTAATACTAAACTGTCCAATCCGTCTAAAATTTCTTATATTATAGGACGACGAATGGAGTATATATTTTGCATATGTCTCTTGGCAGCTGAGCGACTGGGTGTGAATGGTTCATTTCTACCTACACATGCTCTCTTTGTTAGGTGGTCGATGGATTAATGGGTCTATGTGCTAGGGAAATTTTAATGGGTCCCACAAGAATAATCTGCAACTCGATTGATCTCATGACGATCTGATGATGATGATGCCAAGTCAAAGTAATAACTGTTGTGCTGTGTCCCTCTAAATTAAGGTTTAGAATAGTCTCACACAACCACTAATAGTAGTTTAATTGAGCTGAACTTGGGTTCAGTTAACCATATGCATGGTGTGCAGGATGGAAGTTAGCTAGCCTCCATTTTTTGTTTCTTTCTACACATATATGTGTGCATGATGAATATGCCTTTGTGATTTCTTTAATTTCACTTTCAGAGATTTGGTTTGTTGTGCAACTCATCAACTTTTTTTTTATCAATCCATGATGCTTAAGGTCAAGCATTCACACGGGGTATTAGATTAGCATATTACGCATCCTTTTGTTATAAGAGCAAGTAGATGCTTATATATATCAAATAATTAATTAATAGGCGTCGTCGTTTAGCAATTGACATGTTTGTGACTGTTGGGGTCCGCTGTTAGATATTCTCCCTCTAGTTTCGAATACAAGTTCTTGTAGCTAGGTTTGTTCACACAAATCTGCACATAGGTGTGTTTAAAATGCAATGGGGATTGTCTGCAGCCCCTGCTACTGCATCAGCAGTACTGTAGAGGATATACATCCTTTAAAATGATGGTGCTATTCCACGGTTAATTACAACGATTTCATTATTTTCAGCTTATTCATCATATTATTGTTGCTGATTATTTACTTCACGCTTCTAAAAAAATAGGATTATTCAAAAATAAAAAAAATTCTACCGCATTATTTGAAGTTACATATGTAAGTTTATTTATTAAAATATTTAATTTACCCCTATACTCAAAGTAGATAATTCGTGGCTAATCCTATGAATAATCTATTTCAAATATATACTACCTTAAGATTGTCCGATTTGAAGATCATAAAAGGGGAGGAGGGGTGAACATCGCCCTCAAGATTATCAAAGCCTAATATTTGGAGAAGAGTTGGAAATTCTAAAACTGAATATACTGACAAGTGGGCCAGTTTGTAAGCAAGGTAGCAAAATCATTTATGTAAAATTCTCTCTCAAACTTAATTGAAAAGTAATATTTTAGTGATTTTAGTGTCCACCAGTAAAATATCACAAAATTTCCATATCTTTTAGCAAATCCATATTTTTATAATGTCTACCAGTAAACACCACGATTTTTAAGTGTTATATAGCAAATTTTTACCAAATGAGTAATACAAAATTTGCCAATATATCACAGAGGCATCGTTCAAAAACACCATGTTAATGCTATTTTATGCCCAATCGCCCATACCTATAAATTCCAAAGACATTTCGCTAAAGTTTTTTTAATCAAAACTACATCAATTTAATACATTTTAGTCAGATATTTCAGAAAACTGCACTGCAACAATAATTGATTACTTCATCATAAAATTGCAACTTTATACGCTTGCCGTGAGTCTAAACCCAAGCACTAGTCAGGCACAGATGCAAAACTCACACGGTCATCAGAACCTTATGTTAAAGTTACAGCTTATTGATAATATCGTTTGCTAAAGTTCTGTTTTTATGGAATCCCGATGGTTAAAGTTGTAGTAAAGCGATTATTTTCGAGTACAAATTTTGTGAAATTTACTCAAGAAAAAAGAAAGACTGAACATACGCTCGTTCTAGCTAGTTGATGCTCCTTAATTGAAAACACACAGTTGCATTGCATGGTTGTAAATGCAGGGAGAAGTAGTCAATATAAAATAAAACCTTGCATGCCTAATCAGCTAAGGTTAAGGATAACTTGTGGATGGTGGAGATCTGACGTGTCAAAGCTCCAGAAACACGTGTGCATGTTTGAAAGATCGTCGACGGCCGATGCAGTAACTTAATTCCAAACATTCAATATTATTTGTCTTGTCTTTGCACTGATCATCGACTAGCTAGGCTAGCTGCTTGCTTAATTCGCTTGCTTCGCGCCTAATTAGCCTCTGCCCTTTTTACACTCGGACAGTGACATGTATTTTTCAGATGAAGACGTGTATTTCTAACCGTATTTGTACATGTATATGTGTATGCTTATTTGTACAACAGTACAAGACTGTCAAGCTATCTCTAGCTGGCTGGCTGGCTGGCTTGTTTGATGACCAATTTGAGAAATCAAAGCGCTGTGAAAATGGTTGAGTGGTCTATTGTATATCGTGGAATTATGTTATAAAATTTGATGGAAATATTCAGTTTCTCATTTTATTTAGGTCCTATTTCGCACAAGGTTTCAGAACTCAAGATCTGGAATTTTTAAGAGCTTAGGCATTACTAGCTCTAGAAATCTATAAAAATCTGGAATCATAATTACTAGAAGGAATCATTTAATTCCTATTTTAGAGGAAATACAAAATTTTAAATTGATTTACTCCCTCAGGTTTCATAACTTTTAACTTTGGACAAGATTGTTGGCCAAAGTTAAAGTCAAACTATTAGAGCTTTAACCATTAATGATATTCAAAATATTTAGTTTGAAAACACTGGAACAAGATGTATAGAAAATCATTAAAAAGTATTTTATTAAAATTAAATATCTACTTATATATATATATATTGTAATGAAAAATTATAATCAAAGGTAGGTTGGTATGTTTTGAAGGACATGTGTCGTTGTTCAAGACATCAAGAGTTATAAAACCGAAGCCGAAGGGAATAACTCTATAAATTGTAGAATGTGGATCTGGGATTTTGATTTGTGCCAAACAGGGCCTTAATTACTTAGCGTGCGCTCTTGAGGGATACGATGGTAAATTGGTAATGAATCAAACTATATCATTTTTAATTAAATAAGTTAAACCGATGATTAACTCCAAACAGTTTGTACTTTGTTTGCTTCCTGCAAGTTAGTAGAGTTATGCCCGGTCAAACACAGGCAGCTTTAAGTTGAGCCATTGAAGATAAAACCAAGCTCCCAAAATCGATCATAGCAAACATTCGATTGGTTGAGTCAATGAAAAAGAGGGTCAATTTTGAGACGATGGCAATGATCAAATCAGTGAAATCGCCATGGATAGCTGCTGAGTTCTGACTTGTAGATCAACACTGAAGTCCGGGTCACTCCATTTGACAGTCTTTTTCATTTTCAGTCTAAGAAGGCAATAATCCATCTTGATGATGAAAAGAAGAAACCCCCATTTGGCCATTTGCATTGTTCTTTATGACTTAATTAGTATAATCAAAGATGTAAATGGAGATTAAAGCTCTTGCTCCCTGAATCTGATAAACCATGCATGGATTTTTTTAATTAACTGAACATAATTATGCATGTCAGAGTGTTAGTTCAGAAACCTAGAATCACACATCGAACAGGACTCAGTTTCTAGCTGATTATCAACAGTTCAAAACCATATAGTACCCAAGTTGATGTTATATTGATTCTTGATATGCAAATTTTTGATTAGGGGACATGCACATAATGCACATCGCTCTGACCACTGAGAGGCTGAAAAGGGCTTATATATCATCAGGCCATCAGCCCATCACACAGATTAATTTGCTTCCATGCTAGGAATAAGTCCACTTTGACTCCTTTAAAAGTGACCCGAATCTAATCCTTGACCCTCAACCGTAAAACTGGATAGAACGACTCCTCAAACTATTGAAACCGGTGCAATTTGACTCCCTTAGTGGTTTTGGATGGCGGTTTCGCTGACATGGCGCTTACATGGCGGTGTTGATCTAGTCTGTGGTGTTGACGTGGCGCTTAGGTGGCATTTCAATTAGAAACATATATGTGGGACCCGTTTGTCATACACAAAAAAAAATTGTCATCCTCTCTCTTTCTTCTCATCCCCCTCTTTCTCCCTTCTCTCTTTATTTCTCTTTCTCTCCCCTTCCACCGTCCGCGGGGAGCACGGGTTGAAGCGGCGACGGGGCGGGGGCTGGAGTGGTGGTGACCGGTGGGAGCTGAAGCGGCGGTGGCGGTAGCGGGCTAGAGCTAACGCGGGTGGAGGCGGTAGGAGAAGGAGGCGGCGGCGATGGAAACCGCCCCACGCCACAGACCTCCAACGAGGCGGCTGCGGCTGCCTCCGACAAGCGCGTTGGATTATCCCCAGCCTCCGTAAGCTCCAGCCCACTGCCACCGCTGCTCCAGCTAGCTCCGGCTCCCGACGACGCCGAACCAGGTCACCTTCTTCTGCGCCTCGCCCAACGTCTTCAGGAACTCCTCACGCCACCGGAAGCCGCACTCCCCCATGATGGCGCGCAACGTCAGGTTGGTTAGCGTCCCGGTGATCTGCCTGCTCACGTTCAGTGCCGGCGGTGGCGGCGATGGCGCTGACGAGGCGGGCGACCTGCTCCTCCCTAGCGGAACGAGCGCACCTTGCCGAAGAGTACCCCCCCCCCCCCCGGTGGCGTCGATGGAGTTCCTCACTGTACGCCCAGCCATGGAGGTGGGAGCCCCCGGGCTAGGCGCCAGGAGGAGGCCGAGCTCCATCCTCGACTTTGGCCATGATGGTATGCATGTAGCAACTCCTGCCTTGGGACGAAGGCAAGGCATATCATCACCTTCTCGGCATGATTTGTGATGAGCAGGAATTAGTAATCGAGCTACATTGGTGTACACATCTTCTTGCTTGCTTGTCTTCTCCTGTGATGCTACATTGGTGTGTTTGTTGTGCTGCTGCTCGACTCTGCCGGCTCCGCTCCATACACCTTTGCCGGAGCATTGTGTGGGTTGGTCGGGCTGGGTTCATGGACTGCATCCTCGGGGACCGCCACCATCAGGCATGCGGATACGGTGAGGTTGAGGTCTATCACGATGGGGAAGCTGGCTCCCGCCCGCTGCTGCCACGTCGGCCATCGCCCGCCGCCGCTCTGACTCCCGCTTGCCGTCACCGCCCCTGCCCGCAGATTGCGCTATGAGAGACAAGGTGAAGAGAAACGGGGAGATAAAGAGAGAGAAGGGAGAGAGAGAGAGAGGGAGGGGGAAGAAGAGAGAGTGTGAATGACGTGTGGTCCACAATATTTTGCTAGATATCTGTCATCAAATTTCTCCCCCTGATATTTGTCGTTTTTCTGACCGTTGGATTTGCGCTACGATGCGTGCAAGGATTGGTTTGGATCAGGTCGCGTGAGAGTCAAAGCCTGGTCTCGCGGAGTTGTCAAATTTCGATTTCCGCGCCGTGTTCATAGACGTTTTCATTTTCTTCTCGCTACTTATCTCTTTCTCCTCGTTGTCTCCACGCTCTCGCTCTCTCTCTCTCTCGTTCTCTCTTTTTTTTTCTCTTTCATTGTTTTCTCCGTCGATAGAGAAGAGAGAGAGAGCCATCTCGCCGCGGCGAGAGAGAGGGGGCTCGCCGGCGGGAGAGAGGGGGCTCGCCGACGGGAGAGATCTGGCTTGCCGGCGAGCACGAGAGAGAGGTAGTTCTCTCGCTCCTTTTCCTTTCTCTTTTTTTTTCTCTCTCTTCATTGTTTTCTCCGGAGAGAGAGAGAGCCATCTCGCCGGCGAGAGAGAGCGGGCTCGTCGACGAGAGAGAGCTGGCTTGCTGATGTGCGCACGAGAGAGGTGGGTCGCTGTGGAGATTCAACTCACCAGAGAGTTTTTTTTCTGATTTCTCTCCTTCTCTCCTATTCGATTTCGTTTTGTTCCATAAGTTTTAGGCAAATATCTTCGGTGATGTATACTTTCGTAGATCCGTGATTTCTATGTATTATTGATGAGATTTATAAGTTCTAGGTGTTTAGTCCCCTGATCTTTTGATTTATAGGCTTAGCTACACATTATTAAAAATTTCTAGTGTAGTTTTTATTTGGTTATTTTGTAAGCCAACGATATGATATTTTTTGAGATGTGCTTCAGTGCTCAGGGATGTTTTCCTGCTCACAAATTTTTATCAGGTGCAAGTGTGTGTAGCATTTTGCTTGGATTCAGGTGCGAATTGAGTTCAGGAGGGAGAAACACATTGTTGCATTTTTTATCTGAATGCTGCATTTCGTTTCAGAGATGCATGTACTGGTCTGTTCGAATTGTAAATTTTTGCCCCAAATTGTTTGCTGTCTCTGCTCGGTTTTCATGCAGTTAGACTACTCGGTCTACTTGTTGGCATGTGGCTCAATTCGTTTGTGGGATTCCAGTCCAAGAGTTTGGTTGCAGATTGGCAAACATTTCTCAGTGCTCAAACTGACCGGGGATGTTTTCCTGTTGAATTTGTATGGGTTACGTTTTGCCTTAATTCTGGTGTGAACTGAACAGAGAAGGGAAAGCATCTGTTGCAAATTTATCTGAATTCTGCATTGCGTTTCATAGATGTATGGACTGATTAGTACCGATGACCAACTGATCATCAATTGTTTGGTTCAGTTCTCAACAATAACTGATCCTTCTCTGTTGCAAACTGATCCAACTACCTCCATGTTTCATATTTTGCAAACTGATCCAACTTGTTACAGAAAAATAATCAGTTAATTACATTACTGATTAAATTTTTAATTATTATTTTCAGTAATTTGTTTAGATGGCTCGTATTCACAATTCAACTCTTGGCAAGGATCCGATTGATATTAGTTGCATTTCATTCTCATATATTAGTTGACTAATCTGTTTGGGGATCTATCTCTGGTCCCCAAGTATGTCTTGTGTTGCCTTCTTCAGCATATTAATCATTTCGTTTCAGAGATGTACAGCTTGATTTCCTAGTATGCTGAGTTGTTTGGTTAAATTAAATCCAATCCCCTGCATGCATTTTGCCTTGGTTCTTGTTTTGTTACTCTTTCTATGTATATGTTGTTCTTTGGTTCAGAATTTGTTGTGCATGAACAAGGAAAGTAGAACTCGTATGAGGCTTTCAGGTATTTAAGGCTGGCGCTTTGATTTTTGTCTCTGGGCTAGAGTGGGGAGTCTTGGCTTCAACTTTTTTTCTTTTGCTGAATTTGGTGTTCTTTCAAGTTAAAAATCTGGATGGTTTTTCAGTGCTTACCCCCTTTCCAGTAGCCTAGATTTGTGACTGTACTTTGCTCTTGGTCAGCTTTAGGGTGATTTTTTTTTGTGTTCTACATTGGTAATTACCGGTGTGCGACGTGGACACTGTTTTTTCTTATTTATTTTGGATTTAGCCCTGTAGGTGCTGCTGCTTAGGAGTTCTACTTCTTATCCTGGAGATGTACTGTCTAGTTAGATTAATCCATCATAAAGTTGACATAGTATTGTTTGTTAATGACATTATAGAGGCCATACAATAGTTCTTTGATTTATTTTGTCCTCCCTGAACATGTTTTATTTAATTACATTTATTCGTCAAAGAAATAAATGTATTCTTCATTTTTGTAAAGCATGATTGTACTTACTAGTCTTTCATTTTCATTAAGAAATATGTATTGATCATAAAGTAATTGTGCTTTATTTTCGCCAATCTCTGATTCAATTGTCTCTGACTTTTTGCCTTTTTCAAAATCCTGCAGGTAACGAGATCCTGGAACTGAAAAAGAAAGCATAATTAATTAGTCAAAATCAGTGTAAGTATTGCAAAATTTTCCATTATGACTGATTTATTTCTATCATGCTTGCTATAATCAAAATTTTGTGTTTGCCATATGATGATTAATAACATTTGAATTAAGCAAATCTAAGTTCTGCACGTCATCAAGCGAGAAAATTAATTATCCTAAGTAAAAAGAATAATTAAATTTCTTATCTGATGATTGTACAGAGCTTTGAGGTGTTTTTTTTGTTTAAATCTGATGGCATATTTTTTTTTATGTTTTGACACCATTTTTGAGGCATACTAATGCATTATCCATAGCCTCTAATTCTTCATATGATGTTTTTTGCTTAATGTATTCGACTTATAGTCCAATTACAGTCCATATGCACTGTAATTACAGTTGTAACTTCTATTATTTCTCACTGTAACTGAATGCAGGTAGTTAGATTATTTTTATTTATCATGCTTTGCATCTAAATTTTGCCATATATAAATTTGTGCTAGATGTAATTTTTGACAAATATCAGAGATGGTGCATAATAATAGGTAAGCATGATTTTTCTAACCTTCAACTGTCTTCTTGATTTTTAATTCTTCAGACTCGATTATGTCTCTTATACATGTCTTTGATTGTGTATTCCCTGTAACTTAAGCATGTAATCTATGACATCCTGCATGTTTGGGTCATTTTATACTATGTTACAATCTGGAATAATGTTGATTCTATCGAAAGAGTACTGAATTTCTATGAGAAAGTTAAGCATGATTCCAGTTACAGTCCATATGCACTGTAGTTACAGTTGTAGTTTTTGTTATTTTTCCCTGTAACAGAAATGCATGTATAGGTTATATGTAATATATTTTTAGAACATGTTAGAATAGGAAGTAATGCATGAGTACTGAAATTTCTGAGAGAAGCTACAGTAGGAATTAATGCTGATGTTATTGCGTTAGTACTGAAATGAAAATTCAACACAAGTATGTTCGGTGCATGTTTTGTGTTTATATAAGTACTTAATTTTTTATTTCATTTGAATAGGAAAATCTGCATATAGTTTAGTGACATAATTTTGTAATTATGTCATTAGATTCTTTGCAGATTTTGTTGCTCAAATGTAGTCAAAAATTAGATCTGTTATAGTTCAACTTTAGTTGCATAGAAAGTTTAGAATGCTAGCCCACTATAATTACAATGTTTCAATAGTATCTTGAAAGATTTTGCATGAATACTGTAATAACAATGCCATTCTAATCTGGAACAACTTTGGTGTTCTGAATTTTGGTTTCTTCAGTATGTTTTGCCATAATATTGCTCTTATCTGATTCTTGGCTTTTTTTTTTTGCACATCTTGTACTGCTTCATGACCAGCAACTGGAGAAAATTGAAGTTTTCATGAGAAACTACAGTGTTATGTTTGGTAAGTTATGAAAGAAACATTTATACTTGTTTTTTTGTACCTTTTATCTGTATTGGTTCTTTTTTCTTGGTCTGCAACTTGATGTCCTTGGTTGTTTCTGCAGCTGAAATTGTTCCTGCAAAATGTTATTGAAAGCATTACAAAGCATGTTAGTTTTGTATGTTCTAGGAAATCTAACTAATTAACCTAAATATTTTGGTTTTCATATGCTCTAGGTAATCTGACTATCAAACTTAAATATTTTTGGGTTTCATGCAGTCTAAAATTATAGTAATTATAACTTAAAACATACTTACAGTTCAACTCATCACCACTTACAGTGCAGTTACAGTCAAAATATACCTCACTTACAGTTGTAATTTCTGTTATTTCTCACTGTAACTAGCTGTTGGTAGTTAGAGCTTGTAATTGATTGACATTGGTTTATTACTGATTTGTGTGAAAACTAGGACACTTGTAGTTTGGGAACCCTTGGGACTCTTTTTTTTTTGGTTAGTTGTGCATGCAAAAGTTAGAATATGTGTGCTTTTAGTTTCATAAAAACATAGTGAGCTTGTAATGCTTCCCCTTGTGTTCTAGGTTTTTTTTCCAATCAATGCAGTGTATGGTAATCATCCATTTTTGAATTAGTTATATGTTTTACTGAAATTTAGCTAGCCTTCTTGCATCATTGCAAGTGTGAGGCCATTTCATTTATGTTGTCTGTTAGTGTATGCAACCAACATTAATTTTTTTTCTTTGTCTTTGCATAGATTCTGATTGAGTGCTTCCTGGACATAACTCTTATTTGTGTACTAATTCTTTTCATTCAAATAGAAAAGGAGAACTTGTGCCTTTATGGTTTATTAGTGCTTTTTATTTCTGTTGCAGCGTTTAGATGTTTTCTCTTAGGAAAATACCCTAGAAAAATATATCTCTTGAGGCATTTGAATTGCTGATCTAAATCTGTATATGATGCCCACTTCTTACATCTAGTGATTTAGTTAAGTTGTTTTCAAATGGTATTTTGAGTTATGAATTTTGTTTATCAGATGAAGTCAATATTTTAGGTTTCATGTAGTCTTAAAACACACTTACAGGGCAACTCATCTCCACTTATAGTGTAGTTACAGTGGAAATGTACCTCACTTGCAGTTGTAATTTCTGTTCTCTCTCACTGTAACTGACTGTTGGTAGTTAGATTCCTCCTATTTTAGCTCCAAAGTTGTATCCATTCAATAACTACCAGTTACTTTATGCTCACTATTTATAGTCTTTCCCTGTTGATTTGACCAATTTAGTGGTGGAAGCTTCGCATTCTTCTCGTCAGGCTAGCACATGGCTCATTTGTGTGCTAACTTAGGCTAAATCACTAGAGAGCGAAACTTTCACTTTGTGCAAATATATCCAGTTGGTTGCTAAGAGCAATCCCAAATTTGATGGTTCTGTATACTCAAATTGGCTGCTTAAACTAAAAATATAAATATCTCAAAACACTGGTAAACCAAAGACCATATTGATACTCTACTTTTTGGATAGATTATAACTCTATCCCTGCAGAAGTGAGATTCAAGTCTGTTTGTTGTTACCTTAAAACACACTTACAGTGCAACTCATCACTACTTATAGTGCAGTTACAGTAGAAATATACCTCACTTACAGTTGTAATTTCTGTTATTTCTCACTGTAACTGGCTGTTGGTAGTTTTTGATATTGGTTTTATCAGTGAATTGTGCAAAAACTGAGGGACTTGTAGTTTAGGGAACCCTAGGCATCTTCATTTTTTTTTATCTGTGCCTGATATATTTGTTTTTGCTAGTTATTAATGTAGGCCTAGTTTTGTACTGTTATTTTCTATTATCTGTGTTGCTTTGTGTTTCATGCAGCACCATCCATCACTAGTATAACTTAAATATACTTACACTTCAACTCATCACCACTTACGGTTCAGTTACAGTGGAAATATACCTTAGTTACAAATGTAATTTTTATTATTTATTTTTGTAACTAACTGTTGGTAGTTTGATCTTCATTTTACTTTCTGAACTTGTCACGGTGTCCCTGTCAAGGTACCATGTATATGTCGAATCTAGGGAGGCTGATGCCCTGCTAGATGGGCATTTTTATAGTTATTATGAATTTTTAGTTCAGAGTTAATTTTGGCATATAGGACTATATGATTTCAGTTCTTTGGTTCATAAAGAAAATTTTTCGTGCACAAAGAAAATCCCCATTTTTGCAGATTTCTCGTTGCATATGCTAGCAGTTTACTGATGCACTGTTTTCTGCAATCCTGACAGGTGCTGTTCAGGAAGAAGCTGAGTTTCATGGTGTCATTTCAAGCTCAACATATGAGATGTGCTCCTCATTTGATCAAATTGGTTGTTAAAGGTTTTATAGCAAATATCACTGATTGAATGAGCTTGTAAACTTGTTTTTTTTGCCAATTTTTGTGAGATTCCATTTTGTTCTCTCTGTGCACACATGGCTTCCCTCTGCACACATGGCACAATACAAAATTTTTAATGAAGTTCTGAGTTAGTAATGGCCTAGTTTTGTACTGTGCATATGCACTGAAGAAATAGTGCTGAGTTAGTGACTTGAGACTGAAGTGTGCAGTCTGTGTTCTTCAGATATGATGCGGTTTTTCTGAAGAATGTAATTCTTTTACTTCTGGGTTTACTGCTCGAATGTGAACTTATGATTCATCTTGCTTTCGAAATTTGAAGCTGTAATTTTTGCATTTTATGTTCTTGGTAGGAGGTAATTGGATTGGGCGTGGGATTCACTGAAGATTTCATTATTTTGACTTTGATTTATCTGAAGAAATATATTGTTGCTTCGGTGATTTGAGACTGTAAATCTGTAATATGCATTTTGTTTTCTTGTTTGGAAGATGTAACCGGATTGGGTTTGGAATTCACTGAAGATTTCACATATTCTCTATCACTTATGGTGTACAGTGTGCTATCTAAAAGTTGTGTATCATTTCCTAGCTAATTGTAACCATGAAGTTGTCTATTTAAATAATGTAGGGTGCAAGCTTGTTGTATTTTTACTCAGAAGAATTTTTGAGTTCTCAATAATTTGAGCAGATCTGGACTTTGTTCTTATCTAGAAACTGAAGAACATGTTGACTACTTTTGTTCTCGTTGAAATAATAAACAGTGAGGTGTGTGAGGTACCAAAATGATAGCCCTAGTTTATAATCTAAATAAATCCCCAATTTCATCCATTTCTGACAAAGATTAGAAATCTGACTTCTGTTTCTTTGTTTTTTTTCAAGATTTAGGATGAAGGCAAACAGTGAATGATTTGTGTTGAAATTTCCAGCAAAAAGGCAAGGATGGATGAGTGGTAGGTTCATATTTACCTGGGAGTTTGGTTTCTTTTGTTAGTTTCATCTTCTTGGTTCCATCTTCTTGATCCATCTGCTTGTTCTTCTTTTTCTTTTCCTCCTCTTCGTCCATGGCTTGGTCGCCTTTCTGTTCAATCTGGTCTTTCTCTTGCGTGTTCTTTTTTTCTCTTATGCCGTCTCCGATCGATCTACTAGCTAAGCTGTTGCGCGTGATCTGTTTTTTTCTTTTTTTAATAGTTTTCTTGGATTCCAAGCTGATATGGCTGTGTTTGTATTGGGCTACGATGTGATATTGGGCTGGCATAATCTTATCTTCCTTTTTTGGCCTTTTTTTTATGCTATCTCATTCTGGGCTGAGTTTTAATTTTTATGTTTGATCTACTCGTTTGGGCTAGTTTTGAAGCCCAATATGTTTTTTTCTTTATTTATTTTGATCCAATACGAGAAAATTTGGTTTTATTATTTTTTTCCTTGTCCATTGGATGCGTATCCGAGGGCTTGAAAAAAGTGGGTGATTTTGCCCCAAAAATCTGTCGACAAACAGATAGCTAGTTCCCAACGTATTTTTATGTGTGAATCACAAGTGGGTCCCACAGATTTTTTTTAATTCTAATGCCACGTAAGCGTTACGTGGGACAAATACTAGGTCAACATCGCCACGTCAACGCCACATCAGCAAAACCGCCCTCCAAAACCACTAGGGGAGTCAAATTGCACCGGTTTCATTAGTTTGGGGAGTCGTTCTATCCGGTTTTGCGGTTGAGGGTCATGGATTAGATTCGGATCTCTTTTAAGGGACTCAAAGTGGACTTATTCCTCCATGCTAAGCCTGCATTAATGATGGGCCCGGATAGTAGCTTTCCTGGCCCGGCCCATTTCGGCCTCACAGATGGATGATGACGCGTGCAAACTGCCCAGTCTCTGAATTTTTCAAAACTAATTTTCAGGAAGAAAACCAATCTAGAATTCCGGAATTGTCATTCAACTAATTATTAGCTCCAACGAGAATTTCGCACGAAACAATTCAATTAGTATTCAAATCATTTTTCTATTCTAAAAGAACACGCAAAAAAAAAAGAAGGGGAGTTAAGTCGTTATACTTCCCTTTATTTCTCATCTTTTCTAATCCAACCGTTTCATATTTAAATTGTTTTGACTTTTTTATAGTTAAACTTTTTCAAATTTGATCACATTTATAGTAAAACTAGCAATATATACAACAAGAAGTTAGTTTTAACATTGAATATATTTTGATAATACGTTTATTTTGTGTTGGAAATATTGCTATATTTTTCTATAATCTTGGTTAAACTTAAAAATATGACACAGTATGAAACAGAGGGAGTACTTTTGACTACGGATGCAAGCGGGCCAACCCGCGGGTCTGTTTATAGACAAAATTTAGCAGGTAACTCGCGGGTTACCTACTAATTTAACCTATAAACGGGTTTATGGATTGACCCACCCGCATCTTTAGATGCAGCAAACAAGGCCACGACACGAAAACCCACGGATTATCACAAATTTGACCTATAAGTGAGCTCGCGGATCAGCCTGCTTACATCCCTACTTTTTGCACCATCTTTCACCTTTTTCATAAGCAAAGCAAAACACTTGTGAATTCGGTTATATTAGCCAAAAAACAAGAAAACAAAACCTGGCCCCACCAGTCATAGCATCTCCAATCCGGGCCCACCCGACAGTGACACTCCATCATCATGACATCACGAGACGTAGCCTCTCCTCTTCTCCCTTCCCTTCCCATGTGAAATCTCGCCGTCTCCTCTCGGAGCCTTTCCTCCTCGCCTTCTCCCTTCTCTCTCTCTCTCTCTCTCTCTCTCTCTCTCTCTCTCCCGAACCTTCTCGCCATGGCCGACCACGCTGCGGCGGAGGCGGCGCCGCAGTCGTCGCAGGAGGAGGAGGAGGACTGGAAGGAGGCCGAGGGGGGAGACGGGGACGTCGAGGTGGCGGACAGGGGCGGCGGAGGCGGCGCCGCCAATGGGGGAATCCCGGAGGGGAGGCCGATCCGGGTCTACGCGGACGGAATCTACGATCTCTTCCACTTCGGCCACGCCAAGTCGCTCGAGCAGGCCAAGAGGCTGTGAGAAACCCCCTCCCCCTCCCCTTCTCTCTCGTCGTAGTCTCGCTCACTCGATTCGATCTGCTTCTCGCCGTCATGATGATGTCATCATGATTTGAAGTATTTTGTATGGAGTAATCAGAGGCAGTTTTTGTTTTTGGTCTGGTTCGGCGTGAGATTTGAGCGAGAAATGTTAGCTTTTTTAGTTAGGGTGGGGAATCTGACGCCATTATTAGCAGTTCAACCACGTCCTGCAGCGATTTGCTATCGTTTGTTGCGATACTTCATCTTAATAGATCGTTTCGTTGATTCTTAGTAGATCGTTTCGTTGATTTTGGTGTAAAAAGTGTTTTTACTGTCGCGCTGCCGATTAGGAAGTAGTCTGATGATGAATCTTGCTGTAGATAATCCTTTCTGAGAAAAATGGATGGATGTTAATTGCTGGTGTTTTCGTGCTTTTGTCATGTGAGGGACATGCTTGAGCAATCTCGGTATGTTTTACCTAACGTGATATCACTCTCGGATGTCCTTTCTTGTTTGCCCTATGTTGGATCATTCAGAGGGAAAGATAAACTGTTCACAGATTCCTTTTCAAATAATGCGGTTTGGTTTGGCATTATTTGCCACTCTCTGTTTAATCTGTACGGTAATCTTGCCTTGTTTCCTTTTATTTGTGGACTAACCGGGTTTATTGGTTGGATGCGGTCAAATCAGTCTGCTCTAAGGAAATGTGCTTATCTGTTCCAAACTAGTCTGTGATTTTTTGCCCATTACGAAGTTCCTCACACATATATCATTCACAGAAGACCTTTTGTGTTGTGGGATAGTTACTTGTTTACACGAAAATGCTTTTGGGTACTAATGGGGAAAGTGCAGTGCATGACTTTTCTGTGGCATCTTTTAACTTTTACAAGGAACCTTGCATTTGCAGTCATGCTCTGTTTCTTAAGAATGAAGCCGTGTTTCTATCTTTAAAGGCTATCCTGCATGATCTTGTGAAAGATTATTTTTTTTATCCAATTGTACACCTCATAAAAAAAACTCCAATTGTATACTCTCCTACTTGGAGACACGTCTTTTTCCCTATATGTTCCATAGATTTTGTGCATACTTAGAGCCACCTTTTTCATGTATGTTCTGAATAGTTGCAGCCTTGTTAAAATTTGTATTCAACTACTATATAGAAATTTATTTACTGGATCTATTGCAATACAACAAAGATGTTGTTTAACCGAACTGCCTTCAATAATTTAGGTTTCCTAACACATATCTCCTTGTCGGATGCTGCAATGATGAGTTGACACATAAGTACAAAGGGAGAACTGTTATGACAGAGGATGAGCGATATGAATCACTTCGTCACTGCAAGTAATCTTGTCTTATGCTTTGTTCTAGTCAATAAGCCACCAATATTATATCTTTCTTTAGTTCTTTTAGTTACTATACTATGATAATACATATGCTCTTCTTTTCCTAGGTGGGTGGATGAAGTCATTCCTGATGCTCCATGGGTGGTAACGGAAGAATTCTTGAATAAACATAACATTGATTTTGTTGCACATGATTCTCTGCCGTAAGTGTTCTTAACAGATCTCGATGTTTATAACATAGTAATCATTTCTGATGTACTTGTTGTGATAATACATATGCTGGTCTTTTCTTTCTTTACATAATATATACAGAGCCTTTGGGCCTTCACAGTGATGGATCTGAAATTCAAATATCATTATCTTTAATTAATATATTCACCTTATTTTTCCTATTTGAATATACAGGTATGCTGATGCTAGTGGAGCTGGTAACGATGTCTATGAATTTGTGAGCCCTAATTTCACGACTGTTTTCTTCAATTACAATTATTGATTAAAATTTTGTTTGTCGTATCTAGTAACAGTTATTATTTGTGTAGACTGGCATATTTCTGACAGAGACTAATCTCGTTGTGTCTATCAGGTCAAAAAACTTGGTAAATTTAAGGAAACCCAGCGCACAGATGGGATATCGACGTCAGATATTATAATGCGGATTGTTAAGGATTATAATGAGTATGTTATGCGGAACCTGGCCAGGGGGTACACCAGAAAGGATCTTGGTGTCAGTTACGTTAAGGCATGTGATATTAACCTGACACTTTCACCTCAATTCCAGCTTGAATAGGTTGTCTTTATATTTTAACAGTGCTGCGGTAATGTTTTGAACTGGCCACCTGATCTTTGATACATCTTATCAGGAAAAAAGACTGAGAGTTAACATGGGATTAAAAAACCTGCGTGACAAAGTGAAGCAGCACCAAGAAAAAGTAGGGGAGAAGGTATTATTCACTATCTTCCTAATTTATGTCAAAGTAGGGTTTAACAATTGATTAACTGACAGTTTTGCCATCTTCGTATCTCTCTGTGTTGATCACTGGTTGGTTAATGCAGGGATACTTTCCTTGTGTCATTTTACTTTGATAAACATAATTCTGAATGTGACATGTATGGCATGTAAAGTATAATCTTTTCTGGATAGTGTTTTGTTGGTTCAATTGGTAGACTTTTATTGGAAGCTAAAAATACGTTCTCAAGCTTACCATGATGATGATGCTACATGTCCATATCTTCAGTTTGATGTACTTTCTCTTTTCTAGTTCAAAATTAATCTTTTGGTGGTCAAGACTTTTCTCTTTTCTAGTTCAACTAATCTTTTGGTAGTCAAGACCTAGAGTCCAAATCTGATATCTGTATCTTGTACACTCTCCTACTTCAAACAAAGATACTAATTTCTCCTACTAAAGTTGCTAATTAATATTTGGGTCCCCCCTAATCTTTTCTAGTTCAACTAGTGTTTTGTTGGTCAAGACCTAGAGTCCAAATCTGATATCTGTATCTAGTACACTCTCGTACTTCAAACAAAGATTCTAATTTCTCCTACTAAAGTTGCTAATTAATATTTGGGCCCCCCTAATAATATTTTGGTCCTACAAACCTAGCATTCCCTCTGAAATTAACCTGTCCAAATGTTTTGAAATAAATTGGTTATTCGCAGTGGAATACAATGGCGAAACTCCAGGAAGAGTGGGTGGAAAATGCAGATCGATGGGTTGCTGGTTTTCTGGAGAAGTTTGAAGAAGGCTGCCACTCAATGGTTAATCACTCCCTGCCACTTAGTAGACTAGAACTTAGCATATGATTCAAGGAATTCATTGCTCACTTCAACTTGCTTTAAAAAAATTCCTCAGGGAACTGCCATCAAAGAGCGGATCCAAGAGAGGCTCAAGGCGCAATCCAGGGATTTCAGCCTTCTACAGTATGATGGCGAGGATGTTGACGAGGATGAGGACGACGACGAATATGTCAGAGAATAATGCCACCACTGTGAATATACGTCAAGTATAATATATGTACATGCGCTGCATGTAGCAGATCTTCAATCCTTGGGCATGTCATGCACCCCTCTCTCTTCAGGAATGGTGAACTTGTGCCCCCCAGGTTAGATTTTGGTGCTGTGTTGTAGCAATAGCAGGTGTTTTGTTTAGGCTAAGACGCAAAGTAAGCCTGTAAAATCCCCTAGTCGATGGCCTGAATGGTTATCTGGAAGATACAGATATGTTCAATTATATTTTTGTTTAGCACACAAGAACACTATATTTCAATTGACTATCTACTATATTTCAATTGACTATCTACTATATTTCAATCGACTATCTTTCATACTTTTTGAACATAATTAAGTTTCCTAGGTCCCTACATGGTGGTTTTTCCCCATAGTTCTTCCAGGGAAAAAAAAGAAAGAACAATCTTCATACATATAAGTTTTAAGTTTTGGTTGATTACCTTTGCCTTCGCTTTTTGTACGTGTAATACTTGTATATATTCTTAACTGCATTTGTTATTATTTTCATTATATTTTTGTCTGCTGGACTATTTAACATTGATGTGAAAAAACACGATTGTGATTTGCAATTAATGCAGGGACCAATTTGCAAAATCCAGGGTCGCTACCGATAGTGGCGATCATACGTGAATAGGGATGAAAACGGTCGGAAACGATCGGAAAACAGCCTCAACCATTTCCGTAACCATATTTTTCTCGGAAACGAAATCGGAAACGGTAAAGTCGGAAACGAAAAAGATATCAGAAATATTGGAAAACCGGAAACGGAACAATACGGACGAAAACATGTCGGTACAGATCGGAAACTGGTAACAAATACGGAAACATTAAACTATAAAAACATATATTTAACTTTACATAAGTATGTTATATATATACATAAATTCAAGCTTATACTATATAAATTATAAATTAACTTCATTTTAGCCATGTACAAAAGTTAGAGATTTTATTGAAGAGTCATTCAATCTATAAGCTGTGGGTCAAGTATAGACATGTCCTATAATATCGACATATTTAGAATACGGTAATTACCATGTTATAAGAAACGGTAATTTCCGCAAGAATACGGTAAATACGGAAACGATCGGTATAACAGCAAAACCATTTCCGTTTTCATTTCCATATTTTTTACCATTTCCATTTTTGTTTCGGTCGATTACCATTTCCATATGGCTCGGCCGGTAGAAAGTCGAAAACGAACGCCGGTCGGCCGGTAATTACCGTTACCGTTTTCACCCCTATACGTGAAGGCCCATTCGTCGTTCATCAATATTCAATGCAGAAAAGGTGTGTCGCTATCAACGATGCTGATCCTACATAGAGTTCATTTTAAAAACAAATAAGATCCAGAAATTCTCGTTAGCTTAGACAAGGCTAACGACAGATACCAGTATACAAGTCCATAGACGCAAGCAAAATTGACAATTTTCGATTCGAGACTATTTAGAGGGTAAAATCAGGCCAAGGTCATCGGGCCATAGACCATTTATTATAAACATAAGCTAAATTGACAATCGTCGAGACTATTTCGGCACTCTTTCCTACCCATCTCTATCGTTTTCTGCGCGCACGCTTTTTAAACTACTAAATGTAACTTTTTTAAAAAAAAATTATATACGAAAGTTACTTTAAAAATTGTACTGATCTATTTTTTTAAAAAAAGCTAATACTTAATTAATCAAGTGTTAAAAGATGGTTCCGTTTTATGTGTAGGAGGGATGGGTTCCCATGCACTGCCGAACGCAGCTGCAAATTAAACGGTCACTGCAAATTCTCTGCCTTCATCTCGCATGCGAGATGCCACATTGATATCGTCCCTATACAAGGGCCATTTTGCAAAATTTTGGATGGTACCAACCGGGGCCTTTATACAAAAATACCATCTCGCGGGCCGCACGTGACAGTCGGGCCTTAGTGGGCTTGGGCCTAAAATGCTGCACGGGCCACAAAACCGCAGGCCCACTCGGGCCTGCTTCTCCCCCATGTCCGGCGGCCGGAGCCGGCCCGACGAGCCCGACGCCGACGCCGCCTGCGCTGGCCGCCGTCGGCGACGGAGCGGCATCTCTGCATCTCGCGAGTCCGTGACTTATCGATGATTGATTCCACTTCAGGATACCTCGACCTTCCAACTCGCCGTCGGCCATCTCCGGCGACTGACGGCGGCGGCCGCGCACGCATGCGGACCATCGATCAAGTGGTAATCACGTCTCAAATTTATCCCTTTTCTTTTTTTTTTCTGATTATTATGAGATTATTATGAAACCGAAAACCATGGACTAAAACCACCGGTATCGAATTCCACTGTTCCCCACCACCAACCCCACCCCCAGTTTGGCCAAATTCCCAAGATTTATTTGGCCAAGCAGTCCCAAACTCCAAGATGAAATCTTGGAGCTTCCAAGGGTTAAAAAAACCAAAGCCTTCTTCTTGGGTTCCTTTCCTATTGGCTGCAAATTCATCGACACCACATTGCCATTGGAGCAGCTTGTTGCCTTCTTCAGACTCTTTTCTTGAAGTTTCAGCCAAGAAAGTGAGCGAGGCCACACAAGTTCAGGTGTGTGCTGGGGCCATCTGGAATTGAGGTAAATTGATTTGTTTCTTGCCATTTCCTTGTGCCAGGAATTTTGGTATCTCTTTCTGGTGCCTTATTCTGATTCTTTCATGGCTCCTACGTTTGTTTTTGTGTTCTTGCTGACGCAGGCGGCCATTATTTAGAGGCGAAAGGAAATGTCTGTCTCTTTCTTGTCTGAGGACTTGAGGAGGTTCTGATACATGCTTAGTTTCATCGATTTGTTTGGCGCTTTCTTTGTGATCTTTTTCTCGGACTTTACATTTGTTTCTGTTCTTGCAGGCATCCTTAGGAGCAAACAGAAATATCTGGTACCATTCTGATGGATATTTCCAATCCTTGTGTTTTAATACTTTGAGGTAATGAGACGTGATTTACGCTTTGTGCTCTTTAATGCTGGTCTTAAATAGTGGATGTTGTCCAATAGTTCAACACACCCCTCATTTTTCTTGTGAAGCAAGTAGACAGATACATTAGATTTGACTTACTCCTATTTTCTTGAGAAAAAATTGGGGTCTTTAAATATTCTTGCTTGGATTGCTTGAAAGAGTTTGCTCTTCCTTTCTGGGAATGGTTGCCTCAATTCGGAGATTTACAGATTTATGGGTTGCTTTCATAGTGGTGGTAACTTCTTTCTTGCTTTTGTTTTGCCCTGTAGTTCAAGTCACTGATGTTATAAGTTAGCCATGAATTATTATATGGTCTTGATCTTCTCTCATTACTATATGCTGCTCTTATTATTTCATTTGCAATGAGATTTGGTTGTCAGAGGTATGGTATGATTGAACTCCTAGTTCTAGGTCGCGGAGCCGATCTTTGATTTTCTTTTTTTTTAGTTATTCAGTTCTGAAAATAGTTGGTCAGGTCCCATTCTTCATTATTCCCCCCTGTCAAAGTAATTCTCAATCTGTGCAGATCCTCGATTATGTCAGCTATTTTCAGTTTACAGTGGATATGCAAATAGCCAATTGCAGGTTGCTCCTATATATTAATTTAGTTCTGCATTCTGCAGTTCTTTATGCTTGATATTTGCAATCTGATTTCCCATACCTACAAAATCTTTGTGGCTTATACTGGTGAATACATTGACAGTATGTAATCCATTTTCTGCAGTGCAGAAGACAATTAATCCTTTGTGACAATTCTGGATGAACAAGCAGATACAATTTGTCATAAGCAGCAGTCTGAATTCTTGATCATCACCAAAAAATGTCGCTGCTATCGAAGCTGAGATTGGTCACGGTGGATGTGACAGGAACCCTGATAGCATACAAGGGGCAGCTTGGTGATTACTACTGCATGGCAGCCAAATCTGCAGGGATGCCATGCCCTGATTACAAGCGGATGCATGAAGGCTTCAAGGCTGCATACACCGAGATGACTGTCAGACACCCTTGCTTTGGCCATGCTTCCAACATGCCCAACATCGATTGGTGGAAGATGTGTGTCAAGGACTCTTTCATCAGGGTAAACACTTCTTGTAATCTTCCAAAGAAATGACTTTTTTCAGGGGGAAAAAAAGAACTTTCTTTTAGATGCATTGCTGCAATTCTCTCATCTTCTGCCTGTTGGCTTATCAGCCACAGCCAAATTGAATTTTGGAGCTCAATTTCAAAGTTGATTCGTGGTTTATTCTCTAGCATTGTTTTTCTTTACTCTGCGAATAATACAGATATAAGAGTTTTACTCGCAAATTAATTTTTGTTGCTTCAAGAGCAGCCAAGGGTAGTATACTTTTCTAGCTTAAGAACTGATGAAAATGTTGTAATCTTGTCTATTGTTTGACATGGTGCAGGCTGGGTATGAGTATGATGATGCCACATTTGAGAAAATATTCAGACGGATTTACTCCACTTTCGGTTCCTCTGCACCCTACTCGGTGTTCCCTGATGCTCAACAATTCCTGAGATGGCTGCGCAACAATGGCTGCACCGTCGGTATCGTCAGCAACGCCGAGTACCGGTACAAGGACGTCGTCCTACCTGCACTTGGTCTCAATGAGGTAAATTCTGCAAATTTTTCTGCAGATATTATCAGCTGATTAATCGAACCACAAAATTCACAATTACTCCGACAGATAGGTGGCATGGCATTTGCCGTTCTTGTTTTCGTTTTTAGCTGTATGTGTGCACTTTCGTGGTGTAGAGGTCGAGAGTATACTTAAAATTTTCTCAAGTTCAATAAAACTTCCATTATATTAAGAAAATTCAGTGAATTTGAATTGCTCATTCTGATGCTGATTTGGGTGTGTTTGAACTCTGAAGGGGTCGGAGTGGGATTTCGGGGTGTTCTCGGGGATCGTGGGCGTGGAGAAGCCGGACAGGAGGATGTACGAGGCGGCGCTGGAGATGGCCGGCGGCGTGGCGGCGGCGGAGGCTCTGCACATCGGCGACAGCATGCGCAAGGACTACGCGCCGGCGCGGCGGGCCGGGATGCACGCGCTGCTGCTGGACAGGTTCCGCACGGCCGAGGCGGAGGGCTGGCGGCGGTCCGGCGCCGCCGTGCTCCCCGACCTCGCCGCCGCCCGGGAGTGGCTCACCGCCGCCGCGGCGCCGCCGGCGACGGCGGCGTGGAGGAGGAGCCCGTCGTCGCAGCTGACCGCTGAGTCGTCTGAATAAATTGTAACGCAGCGACCAAGAATGCGGTGGAAAAAAACATGTGGAATTTCACGGCAAGTTTGGATGCAAATCGAGAGAATTTCACGGCAAATCGAATTTGGTTTGCCAAAATCTGTGTCGAAGACTTCAAATTCTCTGTTGTCACTTTTGTGGTGTTCGGTTTCTACTGAAAATAAAGATTAGTTAGGACACGAAAATAAAAAAAATATATTAGTGTAGGATTAATTGAGTTTAATTATTATAAAATTAAAAATTTAGATTTTTTTAATATTTTAAAACAGCTTTTATAAAAAGTTTTTATACGGAATACAACATTTAGCAGTTTAAAAAACATCCTAATAAAATTTAAAATAAAATTTTTTCTCAATCAGAAAAAGAACATGGCTTTTATCAGCAAAAAGTTAGGGAAAACTACACCAAAGATGGTTATCTTCCTTTTTCTTTCCAAATTCGTTGTCAAAATCACGAGTAGTAAATTTCGAATTCACGAAAATTTCTTTCAAATAAGGCTCCGATACTCCGAATTTCTTAATAAAAAAAAGAGTAACCATTAGGATGGGCCCACATTACAGTGACACCGCGATATGCAATTGCAAGTCGAAATATCCATCCACGAGCCTTCGCCGAGCCGAGTTGGAGAAGGCGAGCGATGCTGCGCGCTTGCGGCGGCGCGTCGCCGGCGGCGGCGGCGGCGGCGGTGCCCGCGCTCGTCAGGGCGCGCCTCGCGAAGCAGGCCTCCTCCGCAGCCCACGCGGCCGCCACCGCCACCGCCTCCGCTTCCTCCTCCCTCTCCGCGCTGGGAGAGGTCGCCGCCGGGCGCAAAGGTCTAGTCTAGTCTCTGCGGCATTTTGCCGAACGGCTGTCGGTCGCGCCGCGAAAGTGTCCTCTCCCATCTTGCTTCTTCTGATTACGCGGCGAAACCGCTCGCGCCATGGCGGTTGCTTGCGCTTGCGGAAATGCTCAAGTGGATTGTGGCTGCATTTACCTGCGACGCTGCAGTTCGTTCTTGTTGAGTGGCTGACATTGATCCACTCATCGTTTGATTCACCTGTAACTGTAACCAGTAATCATTAATATCTATTGTTAATTGTAGCTGACTTCCAGAAGCATATTTGCTTTGTTGAAACTAATTGTATGAGAAGCGAGGTTTTGTGTAGAGATGTGCCTAATCATTGCTCTATAGAACTAATAGGTTGGTCCTCATTAACCCTCTAGAGTCAGGGGTTAGCAATTCTCTAGAGTTTTTTTTCCTTTCGGCATAATGCAGAGTACTCTGGTGTTGCATTATCCATAATTATACCGTTCTGTACAGTAAGTATTATGAAGTGGTGATAGTCCTCTTATGTCAAAAATAGTTTTATGTCTCCTAGAGATGGCTCATAATTAGTTTTGGAAGTTTTAAATCATTATAATGCCTAAGCACAAAGTGGAGTTGAATTTTCCAATTGGAATGCATTGTCTATTTGTTGTCTAGATCTCTCTTGTATTGTCAAACTGGAAATAAAGCATAGCTGATTCTTCCTTTTTTGGGTTAATAATAGGCTATGGTTAGGAGCTACTAGACTTGGAGGCTGGAATCTTTTTTTTTTCTTTCACTTGAGTTGACATAAAGACTAACTTCAAACATTTTTTTTAGGTTTGGCAAGAGTAGTATTAAAGAAAGGAAAGACCCAAATATTTCGAGATGGGAGTCCGATGGTGTATAGTGGTGCTGTTGATAGAATAATTGGTCGACCTCCTCCAAAAACTGGTGATGTTGTTCTTGTAGCTGATGGGGCAGAGAAACCTATTGGATGGGGTCTCTATAACTCTGTGTCCATGTTTTGTGTTCGGCTGATGCAACTAGAAGAAGAGGCAAAAAGGTGACAAGGTCACAAGTTGAAGTTCTCTGTTTACAGACAATTTGAGAACATGGCCTAATATTTTCCCTATTTTTTTTGTTTACAGGGATCCAACATGTGCACTAAATATGGAAAGACTGCTTGAGGCAAGGATTTTATCTGCTGTGGATTTACGGCGCAGTTTAGGTCTCCCTTCAGTTCACACAAATGCTTATCGTCTCATCAACAGTGAAGGGGACAGGTATATATTATTCTTGAGTCTCGACTTATGTTATATGGTCAAGGTCACCAAAGGTACCATGTCAAGATCAATCATCACAAGAAGTGTAATCAGTGCAGAACTATTTGGACTTCTAGTTCTAGAGTATATTTGACCTCCAAAATCCAAATTGCATTGTTCCAATATATTCGCACGAAGAATAATTTTTATTATTGTTTTGAAATGCAGATTGTCTGGTCTAATAGTGGATATCTTTGCTGATGTTGCTGTAGTTGCTTCATCTGCTGCTTGGGTTGAGAAATATAGGCATGAAATCCAGTTCCTTGTTAACAAAGTCAGTGATGTGAACCATATAAAGTGGAGATCATCAACAGATATTCTAAAAGAAGAAGGATTAGATGTATCAGAACAAAAGGATCCTGAATCGTCTTCACACTGTGGAACAGTGGAGGTGAACCAACTTAGTAATTATTGAAACAAAGCCATTAAATTTGGTTTACCTTTATTACTAATTTCAAGAGAGAGATGGCATTCATGCACTCTATTCAGCACATCAATCAGCTTGGTTTTTCAGATTTGACAATCTTTTCTTCTTCCTATGTTATGTTGCCTGTTGTTCCAACACCTCTCAATTGCTGCTCTTACTTTCAGGTCATGGAGAATGATGTTCTCTATCTAGTCTCATTGGAGGGGCAGAAAACAGGGTTTTATGCAGATCAACGTGAGAACCGTCATTTCATATCAACACTCTCAAAGGACCAAAGGGTTCTTGATCTGTGCTGCTATAGTGGTGGTTTTGCTCTAAATGCAGCAAAGGGTGGTGCTAATAATGTCATTGGTATAATACCATATGCTAGCGAACCTTTTAGTCCTTTGTTGATCTTTTCATATGCGTCAATTGTTCAATTGAATCATTGATCATGAAACCCACAAAAGAGTATAACATTATACATGTTTGGCTGCTAAGGAAAATATAATTAGTGTATCCTTTTTCAGGCATTGATTCATCAGCATCAGCACTAGACCTTGCCAATAAGAATATTATCCTGAATAAGCTTGACACCCAAAGGATTTCGTTTGTAAAAGAAGATGCGACTGCATTCATGAAAGGTGCTATCTCAAGAAATGAGGTCTGGGACTTGGTAATCCTTGATCCTCCAAAGTTGGCACCTCGAAAAAAGGTAAGCATACAATAGAGCATTTACCATTAGTCTCTAATTTGACTTCAAATGAGATATCTTTTCATCCATGGATCTGAAGTGGCAAAGAATGTTACATATCCAGCAGTTCGCGAATCTTCGATTTCTTATCAGAAGACACCCAAAGTACCCTTTAGCATATGAACATCAGTTAGCTTCTTTGGCTGGTTGACCCTAGTTTACTGTTAGTACATAATCCATTTGGCCCTATATAATCATGTCTGTTGAAGCATCTGTATAAGTTCATTGAGGGTTTCCAATCAATAAAATGGAAAGTGTGCAGCAGAATTTTGAATCATAGTATTTTGCTTCAAAAGAAATAAAGAAATTAAGTAAGGAGCATGTCTTAGATATACCTATTTTAGAGGAAGTCATGCGCTTTATGGGTACTTAAAACTTTAGATGGGTGAACAAGTCAAATAGAACCTCTTTATAAGACCAGACGGAATCAAATAGAACCTCTTTATAAGACCAGACGGAGGATCTGGTTCCAGTTTACCAGGTGTTTACCAGAAGCAAAAAACCATTGGTTTTCTGAAACTTGAGCTTGCTAGTGCTCTACTTTTAGTAACTGCTTCGATTATTATCTGTCCTGTTGTATTTAGGTGCTACAAAGTGCCTCGGGTATGTACAGAAGCTTGAACGCTCTTGCGATGCAAGTGGTAAAGCCAGGGGGGTTACTCATGACATGCTCATGCTCTGGAGCTATGACCCAAAGCGGCCTCTTCCTCAGAACCATTCAGGTATGTCTTTTGATCATGTTGCATAACCAAGTAATCAGCATACACCTTGTCACCCATATGTATCCAAGCAACTAACACCTTATAGTAACAATAACATCAATTGAAAGGAACATCCAATAATGGTCCAATCTAATTATTTCCAGCTTGACAAACTGTAAACATTCAACAGAAAAAAAATTGGACAAAACACAATGCCCATATCTAGCTTCCAACTCAAGATTTCCCTTTTTTTGGGTAGAAGGTTTGCAATGTAAATTCATGCCCCATTCCAGCCGTCATATTGGCTATAGGTCCAAGGTGGTAAAATTGTTTTTTTTTTGTAATGATACATATTGGATTCAATAATAGTGTTTTACATCGGAAATTGCCATCAAGTTATGCACATCGATGATAACATTATCTCTTTTGTTTTTAATTTCAAGGGTGCTGCATCAATGACCGGCCGAAAGGTTACAGTTCTACGCCAAGCAGGGGCAGCCTGTGATCATCCCGTAGATCCTGCATACCCTGAAGGCCGATATCTCAGCAATTACTTGCTCCGAGTGACCTGAAGGAAAAAAAAAAAGGCTTAGAAGCCTTCTACTGACCAATTACCGCACAGCATTTTCCTAAGAGCTGATGCTTTGAAGTTATAGTTCAGTTTCATTTCATTTTTTAAGTCATACTTGTTAGATCAAGAAACTTTCCGAAGGAAAGATGTATGATGATATAGATTTTGAAGATTATTTGTTAATTTCTAGCGCAGATCATTATTTACCCTTGTTGAGATTAACGTTTTTAACACTTTTTTATATATGGAATATGGAAGATGTGTAAATCATTCACATGGTGACACCAGTGCAATTGAGGTAACAATGGAATCACACTGCAACAATATAAAAATCATTCCATTTAACTTCTGGGATATTTAAAATTTTCAACAAAAGAAGGCTGTATATATATATATTTTTCTTTGCAACATAATGTACATCAGTGTTGCTCATAAACGCTGCCCTAATTGGTATAAGCCGTATTGGCACTCCAGCACGGCTAACAAATAAAACCGCTATCTAGTACAAGATACATTTGAATCCATAATCCAACTTGCTTCATGTTGAATTTGCAACTTAAAAGTTTGAAGAGCTTATTAACGGCCTGCAGGGTTTCTGTTCCATGACAAGTAGTTGTTGTCACCCATTTTCCTGAAAAAAAAAGAGGAAAATTAGAGATGCAATTCATATCAGTGAAATGAAGCAGTTCTCAAAGGCCATCACATTAGCTTTAATAAGAGTTCAATGAACAAAACAACAAATCGAACTCATTTCCACGCATTAGTGTGTGTGTGTGTGTGTATTTTTTTATTTTATTTTTTTTTTTTTGGGGGGGGGGGGGGGTTCTAAATGAAATGATGTGCAGGACTCCTGCGTGTTCTGAGACAACCAAAAAAAGGCTAAGTTCAGTTTGAAGACACATTGAGCACATGAAGCACTGATGAGGATTTGTAGCCTAGAAAGGGCTCTTTTGGTTGGTTGGATGAGGATCAACTAAGAAGAATTTAGTTCAACTCCAAAGTAGCTGGTCACCAAACAAGGCCTAACAATGCCTCAATTATCCCCAGGGTACATGCGCTTCTTCAAATGATTGCATTACATGAGAATTGAGAAGTTACTCACCTTGGTTTTATCAAGTACAGCAAGGTGAATGCAAATGCCAGGAAGAAGCAGAGTCCACCAACACTGAGATATGCTAGACCAAGAAAATCATTCTTTCCACCGAGCCATGTCGAGGTAGAAAGTACCAACTTCTTTTTGCCACTAAAGCTATATGTGTTGTAGTTGTTCTCCAATGTCACCGTAATGGTGTCACCTTTCTTGAGGTCAGTGTGTATCCTACCATACAGCTTTCTGAATGTTGGAAGTGCAGCAGTTCTCATCCAAACAATAAGGTCTTCTTGTTTACTCAACTGCATAGAAAGTAAATAAATGAGTACTTCAGGTAAATACTATTATTCTAACTGCTCAGAGAATTTTCTTGATCTTTAAATGGGATTACACAAAAGTACTAAAAGCATAATTGCATGTCCAATATGTATGTGATAATCTACCAGAACAGAGAACATACCGATTTATTTGGATCAAGTGTTTTTCCACCTATAAGAGAACCATTCTGGAAGTTCTTTGGAAAGACATCACGTCCAAATTTGTGCTCCCTGTCACTCTTCCAAGAGATGTTTTTCTTGTCCACTGGCAGGTTCTTACTGTTGCGAACAAAGCCATATGTATCATTGAATATGCTCCATGCAATCAGACCACAAGGAACAATTGCCATTCCATTTGCTGTACCCTCGGGATCACAAGTGGAGGTGTCATTTGCCTTTTTGGGATCTCTTAGCTGTGCATCACTCCGGCTCTTGACATATCTGTATGAAAAATATAATTCAGCAAGAAAAATGTCATGCAAGGCAAGAAGAATTATCATTTCCTAAACGCAAAACAAAAGGGCGAGCAAATCAAAATGACTATTTCCAAAATCAATAGTTTCTTGCCATCTGTACAGTAGAGGCAGATGTCAATAGTGCATTCATAATTTCATGGCTTCTACCAGAGATATATTTTCCCACTTCTACCATGCATAAGATATCCTTTTCTTTGAGAAACTGACTTAGAAGATACATCATATTGAGGTTGAGCATTATACCGGCCTAACCAAAATATATTGTGTATATCATGTAGCCATTGTATTGGCTTGGTACTGTTCGTGCACTACTGTATTTACTGTACCAACAGCAAACTATTCAAGGAGGACCTGCTGGCGCGGCACTAGTTGTAATTAAACATAAGAATGATTAGTTTTTTAGATAGTTGAATTTATTTCCTTATAGGTATAGTCCGTGTATTAGAGATACAGCTTACATAAAATTTTCTTAGGGTCAAGACAAGTCTTCCCAAGAAAAAATAATGAATTCATAAGGTTTTATCATTTCAGTCACTAATTCAATCTCTCTGCACTCCTCTTTTCTAAAATAATAATATCCTTCAAGACATTGTTCAACCCTTCCTCTGCATGGTAGCAGGCAGCTACCTCGTGTGAACCAGCATTCACAACAATTCATTCTGACTTAACCATTTCAACAGAACTGCTGCATAAACTGGACATATATCCCATCCAAGGGTTTATTTGTACTGATAGTTGAAATACTTGTGACATCAGAAAGTATATTTGCATACCTCCTATGATTCTGATAAAAGTTATCCAGCTGGTAATACACAAAGATTGGTGCATCCATATCCTTTGGAACCTGGAGTGGAGACCAAAATTCGACCAAATATTTCAGCCAAGGATTCTTTCGATACTTAAGGCAAGATGCATAATTTCAGGGTATAGAAGAATATGCATGTAGCTAGGCTCATTTACCTTAAGAGTCCTTCTGCAGTTTTTGCTTATTGTTGGGTTCTGGATGTAAGCAAGCTTGTCAGTTGTATTAGCTGGGACACATGCATCATCGTATCGATCAACAATCTCAACAACCTACAGCAAAGGAAAAATGTTAGCAAAAAATGATATTCACGCTTGGCCAAACATATTTTGAAGTTCGAATAAAAAATACAGCATACCTTTCGTGAAGCCTTCAACGAAACAAGCCCGATTGGGACAAAAATGACTCCGACAAGAACGAAAACTGAAATGACCTGCGTAAGATAAGCACAAGCATCCGTCAGGTGATTAAACATGCCATCTCACTCAAGCTAAATATAACTAACAGCAGGCACTTTTTTTGGGCTAGTATCAGCTTACCCATTTTGGAGTAAGAATCGGCTTGCAAGCTGGGAGCTCCTGCTGAGTAAACTTGGAATCTGCACATAAAAGAGGGTAAATAAAGTAAATTTCATAGCGAATTTAACAATTCCACCAAAACAATCATCCCACCATCTGAAAAGATGGCAGACCATTCTAAATTGCAAAGGCTTCGTCGATGACTCAAAACTCCAGTTCTAAAGTCAAAGCCAACTGCTACTATTGCAGATAGGAAGAACAAGAACTTTTTAAAAAAAAAAATCCTATAACAATAATGTCCCAGTCTCGAATTGAAATCTAAATTATAGCATCACAACTTTCAGTACTTCAGCCAAATTAAACCTTACACATAAAACATCTAAACCTCTTCAAACTCATATAATCTACTAGTACTAGTATATCACAAAGGATGAAAAAAAAAACCGGAAATTATTACTCCAAACCCCCGATCAAAAGGGGAACAAAATAAAAATAAGAAAAAACGAGAAGCAACAACAAAGATAATCGCAGCAAGATCTCACACTTGGGCTTCCTGGTGTTCCTCCTGGGCGCCGCCGCGCCGCCATCGCCGGATCCACCGGAGCTCGATCCGGCTTCCTGGCCGCTGCTCATCCCCAAACCAACCGCTTCCACCCCCAAAAAACAAAACCCGCCACCGACGCCAAGAACCGCCCTTTTCCCTTCCCCGGACACCAAAATGCGCGCTTTTCTTTCTTTATCTTCTCCCCTCTCTCCTCAGATTTGGAGATGCGGGTGTATAAAGCGGAGGGGAAAGCTACGAACTTGCCGTCCTGCTGTTGTTGCGAAGATTACAAGGGAAGGGTGGGTTTGACTAGGAGAAGAGGTGGTGGTGTTGTGGTGGTCGTGGTGGCCTCCGCGTTTGAGCTTCTTCTCCCAACTCCAAGCCGGCGGAGACGACCGAAGAGGAAGGTGGAACGTGGAATTTGCGCAGGAAACTGTCCGTCCTTTGCTGCGAGTAATTAATTATTTTTCTTCTTGAGATGAGATGAGATGAGATTTTTTCCTTTAGAAGTTTCTAAATTCTAATCGCATTCTTTTCAGCCCTAAAATTGGATTGGGCGGTTGTGTTAGGTAGAGTAGTTGCATTGTTTTGGATTTTTTATAGGGAGTACTTATTTCTTTTGAAAACCTTCAAATAATTGAGGTAATTGTTTATTTGACTCTATTTTAAATTTTAACTTTCAATCTGATTTTTTTTTTCTTCTTTTCCAATCGAAGATGAAGGTTGACCCATGGCCGCATCCCACACGCGTGAATTCTTAGATTTTTATTTCACCGCATATAAAGTCTAAAAGTTTCCTAACTAAAAGACTAGCAAAACCTTTTTTTTTCCTAATTGAATCCTCTGTGAATTAGTATTTCATGAAATAATTTTGGGTAAATAGTAACTATCACTTTCTCTGTAAAAGCCCTTTTTTACTTATATTATGTTTTTCTAGAATAATAGTTTATATTAGCCATTTATTTTAATGTACTCCATCTGTTTCACCATGTAAGTCATTCGAGCATTTTCCATGTTCATATTGATATTAATGAATCTGTCTGGAAAATGCTAGAATGACTTACATTGTGAAACGGAGGAAGTAGTGTATGTAACATGTACCGACATGATTAACAAAAGCAAGTGCGGTGAAACCTGAAATGAAGTGGAGTTGTCAACATCGACTTAGAACACGTTTAGACAAATATGATGGATCTAAATTACTTTTCTAATGTAGTACGTTTCAATTGGTGGACCGGTGGCAAGAAAGAAAGAAAAATTGAGAAGATAAAATAGTGAGAGAGAGCTGGCATAAGAAGAATGCACATTTAGGTGGGTTAAAGTGACGCCAAACATGAATTTAGTAGATCCGGAGGCCCTCAATGACCAAGTATTTTACAGATTATAAATTGACAACTACATGGCTTATACTTTTCAATGGACTTTCTTATAATTTTTTTCAGTTATAGACTTGAGAATATCTTTATTCTTAAAAAGTTGTTTGCAAACATACTACATAATATTTAACACATAAATTTGTAGAGTTAGACTGTGTTCTTGTTCTTACCCCAGGTTTCCCAATTATCTCCCTTATTTTCCGCGCGCACGCTTTTCAAACTGCTAAACGATGCATTTTTTTGAAAAAAAGTTTCTATATGAAAGTTGCTTAAAAAAATCATATTAATCCATTTTTGAAAAAAATAGCTAATACTTAATTAATCATGTGTTAATGGACCGTTCCGTTTTTCGTGCGCGTTCCAGTTAGGAACCCGCTCCAGCGAACACAGCCTTAGTGGGTATACCAGTGCCTAACCTGACATTGATATTGTGTCTCGGGAATTTGCATAGACATAAATAGACATATTATACTTAGTTAATTTATTATCTCTATACATTATATGTTCGATCTTCTCTTTTTTATGTTTTAAGTTACTTAAAAAATACCCGTGCGTTGTAATGGGTAAAGTCTATTTTAATCGTATTATTGTTATATATTTTTAGAAAATTATGAGCTACAGTTAGGAGTCCGATCGTCTTAAGTTAGCATGCGAGATTCTTATATGATTCCTTCTGTATTACCAAAAGTGAACGATCTTAAAAACGACTCAAATATAGATATGTATTTTCAAAAATACAAAAATTTAAAAACCGACTCATACACGGATGACATACCAAAATACCGATGAAAACATCTTCAATTAATAATAGAGAACGATATTGAAGGAAAATGATATTGATTCCATTCCAAAGAAAGTAAGGACAACCCGCACAATCAGCCCAAAAGTCCATGGATCTGATATTGTGGACTGGACATACCAAAGGCCCATATTGTCATGTTCGGTATATCTTGGCCCCGTTTTTTTTCGGCCCAACTCTTCTAATCCATGAAGCCCACTAAAGGATGGCCCAAATTTATTTCCTCCCTCGTCACCTCGTGTCGTACTAAACTTCTTCCAAAGATCAATCAATTTCGAGTATAAAGCTTTGGTCAAATGAAACAGAGCAAAATTTCTCCAAGTTCATACTGCTTCAAACGAGCGAGCGAGAGAGAGAGAGAGAGAGAGAGCCTAACAACATAAATAGGAGTAAATCTTTCCATCATCTTCCAATTTCCCAAATTATTTGATCACTTGAAATTTGAATGACGTGGAGTACTAAATAATTCCAAAATTTACCAGCTCAAAAACTCAAACTTTATACAAAAAGATTTACAAAATCTCCCCCATATAATAATTTAATACTACGGCACAAAGCGCCACTGATCCGAACAGAACAGGTGGTCCGATCGCCACCCGCCTCGTCGTCTTCCTCGCGAACTCTCCACCCCCACCACCATGGCGATGGCGATGGCGATGCGACGCGCGGCGGCGCTCGGCGCGCGCCACATCCTCGCCGCCTCGTCCACCTCCTCCTCCGGCGTCCTCCTCCGCCGCCACGTACTCTCCCCCTCTGCCCCCCCCCCCCTTCGGATGTGGGTTTAGGGCGCTTGCTGTGAATTGGGAGGTTTGTGCAGATGAGCGTGGACGCGGGGGCGGCGATGGAGAAGGTACGGGCGGCGGGGCTGCTCCGGACGCAGGGGCTCATCGGCGGCAAATGGGTGGACGCCTACGACGGCAAGACCATCGAGGTATTTTTTGCCCTAGTTACCCGTCCCCATCGCGCGTCTCAGGCAGGCATAGCTCCGGTTGCTCTTGCATCGCTTTCTCTGCTCTGGTGTGGCGACTTGTCAAAAAAATATATATTAGAGAAGTCACTAACTTGGGACCGAAACTCACTGTTACGCTTGTTCGTTTCGATGCCTGTGGATTGATGCGTCGTGCATAGAATTAATTTCAGTCGATTTATGGATTAGTACAGAACATGCAGATTGGAATTGTGGGGGTGAAACTCTGTTGGACTGTAGATTAATTGGTGAATTTAATGTATAGGTTGTGAACATGCAATTTGCTCTTGGAAATCCCTGTGAGCAGTTCGTTGAGCTAATTTATTTTCTGCAAGATGCTTTGTACCTGGTGGTTTTGTTTCACATTGCTAGGTGATTTCGAGAGGGGCACTTATAACACTGGGGTGTCTAGGTGTTGTAATGGGAAAATCTTTGTATTGAATGAAAGATCACACTGTCTAGTGCTGTTCGTTTTGGAAATCTTTGTGAGGGGGTTACTGAGTCTAGATCGCTGGAGAATGCCATACACTTACTTGCAAACATAAACTAGCTCTATACCTTTATATTTTTGTTAGAGCATATTTGCCATCGCTGTTACAGAGTTAATAGTCATGAATGAGGAATGTAGCGTTGCAATTTAAGCTCATATTGTGGCTTTTGATTTTTCTGCTTAGGTTAATTTTGTCAATTGGACTGGACAATAAGAACACGTTGCTATTGGAAAGAACTTTATCCAGTGTTTATATCTCTAGTTTATGACAGTGTTAGTTGTTGATGATTAAAACACCATTCTTTTCCTCTCTTAGGTTCAAAATCCAGCAACTGGAGAGACTCTTGCCAATGTGTCCTGTATGGGCAGCAAAGAAACATCTGATGCAATAGCTTCAGCTCACAGTACATTCTATTGTACGTCAGAAGTATAAACTACATTCAATTTTTATGCTTCAGAGTTGCTTTAGTAGGCCTGATCTTTTTAATGTTATTTGATTAAATTTCTTCGAGAATTCAATACATATACTGGATATTTTGAATCGAATGAAATTTAGTTTATCTCAGTTCTGTTTATTCTTCTTGGCAATAAAGAGCACTAGTTTTCACATGTGACCGATATTTTTATTCACCACAAATATCTAGTTATATCTCAAAAATGCTTCTAGTTTGCTTAGATATCATATAGCTCAACAATAACCCTTACTAATGTCAAGTTTGGTACTTAGAGCAATTCATAAGTAAGTCATAGGATCAATAACTACTGCAATGTAGCCTTACAAGGTGAATATCTATCAAATTCTTCTTTTGTTGCAAGCCTTTCGAAATGTAGCACTGGAAAATTATGTAAAAGATTTAGAAGACAGTCTGTACTCAATGGAATAACCTTTACTCTATCCAAATGCAAAGGTGGAACTCAAACTATTAGACAAAAAAAGAGTACACTATTAGCAAAGTGAAGTTAGAATTTCAAAGAATCATCTCTCCTTTTATATTTGTTTATTCTTATCTGTATCAAACTTGTCATGTTTATTCTTTGCCTTGTACAACATTTTATTCCACATTCCTATACAATAATTAGAGGTCTGTTTGGATACAATTTTGCTCTCTATATAACTATTTGCAATGTTCAGAGGTTGTGGGGGAGAGATGTTCCCTTGTTTGTGATCTTGGATGTTAAGCCGGTCTCCCCACCCAGCGCTTTGGTGCCTTTTGTAATAGCACTGCAGTTTCTGTTTCTTTCTTTTTACTGTTTTCAGACTCTGTATTTTGGCTTTCTCCCAAAAGCTGGGTAATGAAAATTGCATTCCATCTAAAATAACTATTTGCAGTAATTTGGATAAATTGATTTGCTTTTGTTTGTTGATCATATTCACTACTTATACTCCTTTTGTTTGAATATTAATCCTTTTCTTTTTTTAGCTTGGAGCAAACTCACTGCAAATGAGAGGAGCAAGGCTCTAAGAAAATGGTAATTTTTATGAGCACATATTTTAAAGATTTAGTGATAACAACGATTTTTATGTAGTATTACTTAGATGCTTTTTCTGACTTATCATATTGCACGAAGGCATGATTTAATTATCTCACACAAGGAAGAACTTGCACTTCTCATGACACTGGAGCAAGGGAAACCTATGAAAGAGGCTCTTGTTGAGGTACTTTCTAAAATACTGCGCTGATATTCGTTAGTTGGAATATGTGATTCTAAAGCCTTACTGGAGACTCATTGGTTGCTATAAATATTCAGGTCACATATGGTGCAAGTTTTATTGAATACTTTGCTGAAGAAGCAAAGCGTATATATGGTGATATTATTCCCCCAACTCTATCTGATCGTAGATTATTGGTTTTGAAGCAGGTAATATGCTAAAACATTGTAACTTTATTAATTATGCTCAAAATAACTTTAACCCCAATCACTTAACCGGCCTGTTTTTATTGCATATTCACCAGTTTGTCTTGAGCCATTGTCAATTTCTATCTGTAACATATATAGTAGTAGAGTACTTGTACGATCTACTTTACTATCTTTGCTGAGCTTATACATTTTTATGAAAGAGGAAGAGTGATATAATCAGAAATGAGTATTGGTTACTATCTGATTTTGCATAAGGTTTGAACACTCCATTACTGAAGTGTAGCACGAACTAATAAATAGTTTTCTTGACCTGCTGTAGCTTATCTTTATCTTTACTATTTAATCCCTACCATGTGAAAATTTACATATAAACTACATATTATATATCTTAGTGTTTCTTTTGTTACAGCCTGTTGGAGTAGTTGGAGCTGTTACACCATGGAATTTTCCTTTAGCGATGATAACCAGAAAGGTCTCGAGCAATGCACTACACTTCTGTTCTTCTAAACTGTTCAAAAGGGAGAAATAGCTAAGGTAGTACATGTTATTCTCTTATATGTGGTTTTGTACTTTTGTGCAGGTTGGACCAGCATTGGCTTGTGGCTGCACTGTCGTTGTCAAGCCATCAGAGTTCACACCTTTGACAGCACTTGCTGCAGCAGATCTTGCTCTTCAAGCTGGAATACCAGCTGTAATTCTCTCAAGTTATCTGCAACTCCACTTATGTTCAAGTATTTACTATTACTAGCGTAGTTCACATGCAATGCAAGGATATAAAAAAAATGTGTATTGTAGTGATAAATTTCACAGTACAAATATAATCGTTCTCAAATCTGAAAAAAACATGTTATTCACATCAGAACAATCACCCAGTGGATGATATACACATGCGAAGAGGATAAAATACTACTACAAACAACACAGATGTCTATGTAGATCCATCAGGATTGGTGTGAGAAGGGATGGGGGGTTTTGAGCACATTATCACCAGTTCACCACCAACCCCTTTCAAGTAGTAGAGAAATCTAAATTCCTCTCTGTTATTCGCAAATGAAGAAGTTGTTTTTCCATTATCTGTTCATTCATCCAGTGGTTTTTTTCTTCTTCTCATGATTCCATTCATGGTCGCTATCTTGAACATATTCTTTTATCCAGGGCGCAATAAATGTTGTGATGGGTAATGCTCCTGAGATAGGTGATGCTCTACTCCAGAGTACACAGGTTCTATTTCCTCCCATTCTTCATCATATCCGCAATATTAGATTCTTCCGAGTTAATAGGATAAGTAAGAACAATTTTTTTTTACAAGATAATATGCTTTTAATAGGTCAGAAAGATTACATTCACAGGGTCAACAGCTGTTGGCAAAAAACTGATGGCTGGATCAGCAAATACTGTGAAGAAGGTATAACCGAGAAGTTCTGATGTTTGGACAATAAAATATATTATGAATGCTGATTCTCCTTTAGAATACACTTGATTGCCACATGTCTGTATGAGTGTGCAAGGAATCTGGGAAGAAGGTTTCAAAAAACTAATGCTAACTGGACAGTTTTTTCTTTCAACCTTGAAACATGTGGTGGGGGGTGGGGGTGGCTATGGTATATTAATTTTTTTTTTAAATCCACAAAGGTTATGTACAATGAAGAAATTACATATGAATGGAAACTGGACAGTACTCTCGGTTTTTGCAAACTCACCCCTAACACTTTTTATTTCTTTCGGCCTAGTCACTAAAAACCCCATAAAGCATGTATTCCCCCACAATGTCTATATCACTAATTAGATGTGCTGAAAGCATCAAATCTTGGAAAAGCAGCCCCAAATTTGCCATTTGGCAGAAGCTGGTGGAAATGCCTGCATTTTGGAACCCCCTGATGGTGTGTTTTTGGGCTAAACTTGTCAAAGCATGCTAATGCACTTAGCCTGCAAGGTTCCTAAATGGTGTGTTGTTCTTAGATGTGTTGATATAGAGTTCTAAATTTTGAGCAGTATTTTGGCTAGTAATATTATATCATGTCAATAATAGCTTTGACATTTCTGCTTTTGACCTTTTTGGTGGCATATTGGTCGCAGTTGCACCATATTGTCAGTGAGTAAGGTCATTTCACTTTATGTAAATTATATGTTTTTAGTGAGGCTTTTCAAAAAAAAACATTTCTGGTGTTCATGCTGATAAGTTATTTTACAGGTTTCTTTGGAGCTTGGTGGCAATGCACCTTGCATTGTTTTTGATGATGCAGACATTGATGTTGCCATTAAAGGCAGTGTAAGCAAAAAAAAAAAAGACTTATCTACCATTTCAACATTTTTTTTTGTGGTGTACTTTGTTTCTCATTGATATACTGACCAACATACATCATCATTAATTGCATTTTATATTCTATTATGATGCATGTTTATCAACACTACTTCTGTTCAGCTTGCTGCTAAGTTCCGTAACAGCGGACAGACATGTGTATGTGCAAACAGGATATTGGTGCAAGAAGGTAGATTTTTCATCTATGACATGTTTATGTTGTTAGGGCCTATTTTGCTCTGTTACAATAGTGTTTGTCTCATCTGTAGGTATTTATGAAAAATTTGCAAGTGCGTTTATCAAGGCTGTTCAGAGTTTGAAGGTTGGTAATGGGCTTGAAGAGAGTACATCACAGGTACATAACTGTGTCTCCATCGCCATTAAAATTATAGAACTAATAACTTTTGGCAATATGATTCTTATATTCATTGCCTAGACAAATTTTATGGAATGCTTATTTATTAGCGTTGTAAGTATACCTAATGTTACAGCACTTAAAATTAAAACCGTTCACCTTCTGGATGAATTCATATGGACCAAATTTGCCTCTCTGCTCTGTGCATTTTGTTATACCTATATGACATACATTTTAGAATTTATCTATTCCCAACTTAGGATTTCCATTTCCTTTAATATGCAGGGCCCTCTGATCAATGAAGCTGCTGTTCAGAAGGTATAAATTCTGCAGACTTCCAGTAATTTCCCATATTGTTAATGTTAAGTAATAGTTCCTCAAATGTTCCATCTGCAATCTGTTTCCTCCAGGTAGAGAAGTTCATAAATGACGCCACTTCAAAGGTAATCTGAAATCATCACAAGGATGTTCATTCCCCCCTTTGAAATTAGGGTAGGGTTAAAAAATGTAAAACTGCACTGATTGCTGCCCCTGGCCCCATCTGGTTTGTTGGTCTATAGGCTGTTTGCTGGATTTCTCTTGGAAAACATTAACTTGGCCTGTAAGGGTATATAAATCAGCTTTGGCTAGTACTTATGTTGTTTGCCTGCTTCAGTTAAAGACTGGGACCTTGTTTGTTTTCTTTTGTCTGCTTATCTTTGCAACTGCACGTAAGATACCCCCATCATCCTTTTGCAGGGAGCAAACATCATGCTTGGTGGTAAAAGGCACAGCCTTGGGATGTCATTCTATGAGCCAACTGTAGTAGGGAACGTCAGCAATGATATGCTTCTTTTCAGGTAGGGTTCAAAAATTGTGATTTGACCTTATTTTAGTGCATATGCTTTACCTTCATGCGAAGAAATGTTCAATCATTGAGAAATTCTTTGACATCCTTGTTCTAGTTTCTAACAATCACATTTGGCTTCAGGGAAGAAGTCTTTGGTCCAGTTGCACCACTTGTACCATTCAAAACTGAGGAAGATGCAATCCGTATGGCCAATGATACCAACGCAGGTTCGTTACTAGAGTACAGTATATTCTTAACTATTTAAGACTGTTTCCTTAAAATTTGCTCTTCAGTGATATGCCTAGTCCTTTAAAGAAAAAAAGAAGAAGAAGAAACTGCATTGTAGCAAGTCAGGGTATTTCTGTAGTGAGAGACAAGGCAACTAACATGGATGTAGCAATATAGAATTTTAACCATGTAGGCCTATCTACCTTAAGAATTCCTGACAGTTATTTATCCATATTAGTTCAGTCATGTCCTTGTTTTGCTTTAAGGTTGAAATATGATGAGAAACGATGTCCATACTGCTAACCTGTAGAAATGCATCCCCTATTGCTAGCTGTACAAACATGACATGTTTCCCTTGTTCCTTCCAATCCCTCAAGAATTATCTTCTTCAATGATTAATTGCAGGCTTAGCTGCATATATCTTCACAAAGAGCATACCTCGTTCATGGCGCGTTTCGGAAGCTCTTGAATATGGACTAGTCGGTGTGAACGAGGGGATCATCTCAACAGAGGTAAGAAGCAAGCACCGTCCCAGATAACAAAAGCTAAGCAACTCCATTCTCCTTATGGTCCACTTTATAAATGCTGTTCTAACTTGTTTTTTCTTCAGGTTGCGCCGTTTGGCGGCGTCAAGCAATCTGGCCTTGGGAGAGAAGGATCAAAATACGGCATGGACGAGTACCTGGAGGTTAGCATTGCCATTAGACATGCAAATTGCAAACACCTCTCTGGTTTTACGCTTATCCTGTTCTTGATCACATTGCTCGGTTTGCAATTGCAGCTCAAGTACATTTGCATGGGAAACCTGAACTGATCCACTTGAGAGTACCGTGCGTCTTAAAACCGAAGTACCTGGCTGGTGATGAATCGAAGCCGGGGGCAAGAGTAGCTGCAAGAACTGAAGAGCACTGAGGCTACTTGCACCTGCAGGACAGGTTAGAAACTTAGAATAATAATAAGAAGAAATAATAAAAATAAAGTGGAGTAAGCTAAGCCAGGGAGCCGGAATAAAAAGTTCCCCAATGAGTTGTACATGATGTGAACCGTAAAGCACGGCTTCATCTCCGAGCTTTGTTTGGTACTAGTACTACCTGAGAAATCATCACGCTACTCATATCAGTAGTGTCCATGTCCAAAGACAACAACTTTAATTCTACTACTAGGAAATAAAAAAAATGGAAAGCCTCTAGTCAAGCAACAAAAACAAAGCAAAAGTATCCAATGGGCTCGACCATGAGCTGCATGAAAATCAGGCCTTGCCCCTTTGGGACCATTTTGCATGATCTCTTGATGTATTGAATTGAGTTGCGGTTCAAGAACTTTTCTGAACTCATATGCATGTGGTCTGATTGAATCTTACCATAATTGCGGGATTCGCTACACGCCTCCGTTTTATTGTATCGCATTTAGACATCGATTCGTTGGTGCAAAATGTGGGCTTTCTAGAGAATTTGGAGGATACCCGCAATGTTCTGCCAACCTTTTCACGTCCTTCCTTTTGAGGCGAGGCCCCAAGGTTTAAGATTTCATTTCAGTTTGTGAAATTTCAGACTTATCAGTGCACCCGGTAGCCAGCTCAGTTGATTCTCGGGATAAGTGTATTATGACCTCGTGCAATTTGTTGAGTTCAATAAATCTCCTGTTATCTGAGAAAAAAAGGTTAAGCTGATTCTGGTAAAAGGAATTGTGATAACATTTAAACTCCCTCCGTTTTACTACTTTTGTCTCAAATTTAGGGTTAAACATGGATATTGAGAAAATTGGTGGAGTTAAATGTGGGATGGTTGTGATTAGATGAGAAAAAAAATGTAGGTGAAGTTATATTTTGGGATAAATTTTGAAGGCTAGAGGTTGTTATATATTTTTGTATTAACGGAGGGGTTTTTGATTTGTTTCTTACTCAAACTAATTTGATGCTATAGATATATCTATCAGCTTTCTTTTATAAACTTGATTAAACTCAAAGCCACAGTGATTTATAATATGAAACATGGTTTTATATTTTAGGACGAGTGATTGTTGAATCTCCCACCAAATATGGCGTGGTACCAAATTACCAATACCATTTTGCATGAACTCCATCAAAACCAGTTTTACTTATATATACTCCTATACATCATGTCGTGGTAGTATTTGGAGGAGGAAAAAGCACATGAAATAAAAATGTAGATCCGGCCGGTCACCGGGATATCCTCTCGAGTCTCAAGTTCTCAACACTCGTAATAGCAGGTACAATAGCAGGCTATAAGCTAGCTATAAACATATTTTAAAAAGATAAAGGAAGAGAGAGAATAGTAGCGGGCTACAGATATATAAGCCAGCTGTAACACGGACTTCAAAACGTAATGTGTGTATGACAGATGGGACCATGTACTAATTGTATAGTAAACAACTATTGTAGAATTGGCTATTACATTGGCTATATATGATTTGGAGCTATTAGTGGGCTATACTATTAAACTTGCTCTAATATAGTATCATCATTCATAATCCTCTGTCGCTCTTTGGCACCTACCGAGGCAACAAGAACAGACAAGATATTAACCTTACTACTCTACACTGCACTGCACTGCTACCACCACTACAGTCAGCAGCAGCTAAGCTAGCAAAGCGTAAACGAAGCTTCCTCTTGCATCAATGGCGCCTTTCTTCTTCTTCTTCTTCTTCTCTCTCTTTCCTCTCTTTCACCCAAAGGCTGCCTGTCTCTTGCCAGTGGGACCCACCTGCCAGAGAAGATCAGACCGGAATCCGAGGCCAGGATGATTTGCCTCGAAAATTGTGCTCTCAGTGTTGGACGCTTTTGGAGTTCTCTCCCGTCCGTAGCATAGATCGAGCATATGGGTTCGGTTCAACAAGAAGCTTCCTTGAAATCTCTGCATCTCTCTCTACTTTATCTGGTCTCTCTGCATTTCCCATGCACCAATAAAGAGTGCTTCTACTGAGGGCCTGTTTAGGTGGTAAAAAATTTTGCCCTTTCATATCATATCACATATACAGACATACATTTAAAGTATTAAACGTAGTCTAATAACAAAACAAATTACAGATTCCGCCAGAAAACTGCGAGACGAATTTATTAAGCCTAATTAATTCGTCATTAGCAAGTGTTTACTATAGCATCACATTGTCAAATCATAACGCAATTAGGCTTAAAAGATTCGTCTCGTAATTTCTTGGCGAACTATGTAATTGATTTTTTTCTACATTTAATACTCTATGCATGTGTCAAACATTTGATGTGACAGTGTGAAAAATTTTGTTTGGGAACTAAGGCCTGGTTTAGTTCCTCAAAAAAAATTTCCCAAAAAACAATACATCGAATCTTTAGACACATGCATGGAGCATTAAATAAGATTTTTTTATAAAAAAACTAATCTTCCTCTTATACCCCTAAAAAAATAGGCTAGCATTATCTTAATGCATTCACAATATACAAAGCAGCAAGAATATCAGAGCCGCAAACTTAGATATATACAAGTGTATATTGTAGTGACAAGTGGCAACTACTACGCAAGCCAACATGACGTTATATGGTACTATTGATAGTATATACGATAGCATTGCAAAGAACAATTAACCCTCCCCAGAGAAAAAAAAAACTAAAAGGGGTTGGAAAAGATGGAAAGATACTCAATGTGCGTCTGCCTCATTCAAGGTATGGAAGGGTATGGTGCCGGGCATCGCCAATGCTTCAATATAATGCTTGTTCTGTGGTGTTCTTCGAGTCTATTTTGGTCCATCGCTCACCTATATCTGCATGTCGACTTCTATCGTTCTTCCTTTTTCTATGTATAGGTGTCAACTTCCTCCATTCCTCCTTATCTGTGCTATCTTTGGCCGGATATTGTTTAATTGATGTTGCATATAGCCAATCTGATCACATTTCTGATATGCTAGAAGATTTGTTCCTTAATTCGTGAGGGATAGGCTAGATGATCCACAGATTAAATGGCCTTCTTTACAAAAGAAAAATCTGAAATAACAATGCATATAAACCCAATCCCTATGGTACACATATAAATACCTTGAAGCATTTTCAGAGAGCTTCCAACAACGGTATATACAATGCAAGGACAAAATGCCAACTAAATAACAAGTCTTTTTTCCCCTTTTTATGGGCCTTTTAATTTGTCACTACACACCTTATGTACATGCCACTGTGTGCCTCGCCTTGTTATTCTGTTCGCGATGTTGAATTGTTGATGTAGACCGTCGGATCTGCTAAAGCATGCGATCCTCAAGAATATTTGATCAAATGGGTTGATATGAGACATTAGAGCCACATTGATCAATCTCCATGTAACAAATGTCATGTATATATGTACTTTAATTTCCGTAAAAGGCCACAATCAATTTATCTCTAAATTTAGGATATAGTATAATTTTAACTCTCAAACCCACTCTACATACCTAAACATTTTGATTCCTTGTATTTGGGCAGACCATTCTCGCTTGAGGACACCGTATATTGAATTTGTGGATCTTTGATGATCTTGCGATCACAACTTTGTTCAAAACCGCCAAAATCATTTGTGCCATGTGCCCTAATTTAACTATGTGAATTTTGTACCCTGAGAATCTAGGCGCATATATATATATATATATATATATATATGCTTCTTAAGATTAATTTAAAACTAAAAGTAAATTTTATGAAACCCCACCTATTATGGTCTAAGTCGCAAAAAACACAGGGATTATGGTAGATGATACATTAATCTAGATATTATGATTATAATGTTTCATAAAACCACGCCATTATCGATTTGACATATTCATGTACCAAAATTTAAAAAGCTGTACTTACATCGACGTAACACTTATACGATGGATAAAGAACTCATGAATTTAAGATATATGATTGTATAGAAATAAAAAAATATGCACGTAGCATATATCAAAGTCAATGATCGTTTTGTAGAACATTATAGCCATAATACCTGGGGTTGTCACGTGCCAAAACCCTTATGGTTTTGTTAACTCCAATCATAATAACTGCCGTAGGTGAAATTTAGGTGGTGTTTAGATCCAGGGACTTAAATTTAGTCTCTGTATTTAGACACTAATTTGGAGTATTAAATATAGACTACTTACAAAACTAATTATATAAATGAAAACTAATTTGCGAGATATATATTTTAAGCCTAATTAATCCATAATTAGAGAATGTTTACTGTAGCATCATATAGGCTAATCATGGATTAATTAGGCTCAATAGATTTGTCTCACGAATTAGTCCAAAATTATGGATGGGTTTTATTAATAGTCTACGTTTAATATTTATAATTAGTGTCTAAACATCCGATGTGATAGAGACTTAAAAGTTTTAGTCCCATCTAAACAGGGTCTTACTACTCCCTCTGTCCCATAATATAAGACGATCTGTCTAGATTAATTGTACTAGGATGTGTCATATTCACCTAAAATCCCTTATATTATGGGACGGATAATCCTAAGCTGCAGGGACAGATCTAGCTAGCAAGTTTTCAAAGTTCCCATTTCAATTATGCTGTTGTCATGAACCGAATTCGAAATACGAATCGTTTTGCGTGTAGTACGAATACACTCTTGCTTTGATTTTCCTTTTTCCTCCCTTGTCTTTCTTCTTTTCCTCTTTACATGGCTGTAGAATCATCATCATTTCGATTAGGCCCACACGGCCACACATGAGGGGGCTTGATTGCAAAATTACATTTTGATAATGCTTAATTTCATGCATGCATGCATGCATTATGCATATAAGCTCGTTCTTAATTTGGCTTAAGCTAAGCCAGCTAGATAGGAGTACTATAGTGTGTACTTATCTTGCTAGAAGTAATATATATTTTTTCCTTGATTCCATATGTGTAGTATATAATTAATCACACACATATAATTATACAGAATTAATAAGGCAGATTCGTTTTGCTTTTGCTTTGCAGGACTACTTTGATGATTCATATATATTTTCTGCAGGTTGACGAGATATATGGAGGGAGTATATATGTACTATAGTGAAGGCTTTGTACTTTATATCAGATATATATGGAGGGAGTATGTACTCCAGCTCCCATTCAGAAATGTACATATTGTTTTATCTGGGAATATTAATCTACTGTAAAACTTATTATATTATATTATATAATAATTAACTTGGACCACTGATATATATTTACCTATATTTTACATATGGTCGTATTAATCGATCGATCGCAGCTCGTATTGATATCAAAATTCCATATATGGGAGGATATATATGTAGCACAAATTTTCTGTATTATATTTATTAGTAATACAGCTTATTAATTGAGAGATGGATGCCATATGTGTGTGCTCATTAATTAATATAGTTATCTTGGAAAATGTATATATCCATCTTGTGGCATATTATATATATATTGCAGATTAATTGATGCGGCAACGTTTTACAGAGCTAGAACAAATATTGATCAATCATCAATGTATATACACACATCTAGCTAGTGAACTATGCATAAATGGTTAATTTATTTGATGAACACATACATATATGTGCATATATATATTCGATCATATGATCGCATGAATGAACCTTGAGCCGAAGCTATAGTCTATAGACGACTAGGTGCATTTAGTTTTTCATATTTCAGAAATAAATCTCAACATATTTCCATAATCAGTAAATTAAATACACGTATCAACCTGGAATTTAAGTTCCATTAACATTGTGTTTTTTGATCGACCGACATACGCGCATGCAGCCTCAGATATATCAATGAAAGCTTGTTTCTTTAGCATGCAAGAATGCCAAATATAAGTTACACATTTACACCCATGATCTTGATAATTAACACAACACACAATTACACAGAACATATTACATGCATCCTCAAAATAGATAATCTTAATTAGCATTTGGGCATCATCATCAAGCATATATATGATCGATGCACCACAATACCACAAGATCATCCTGATTAATGCCGCATTAATAATAATTTACCCCCTGTTGCTACCAATTATATATCCATTAATCCATGCATGAACTCGAGCTGTAAAACTTATTTAGCCACAGTTCGATCGATCGAGCACGAGCCAATTTAATTAATTTCCTCTGCTGTGATTAACTGGTTTAATTAGTTAATTAACTCATTAATTAATTAACTAATTGTGATTACCCGTAGGATAGGTTCCTCGTCTGAGCTCCGGCCATCACCGACGGGCTCCCCAGCTGCGGCGGCCGCCGCGGCGACGGCCTCTCCAGCTTCGACGCCGCCGCCGCGACGTCGTAGCCGCCGCCCTTGCTCCCCGTCGAGTCGCCGGACATGATCGGCTTCGTCTCGTAGACGTCGGCGGCGAGGGAGTCCATGACGTCGATGCCGCCGTCCATCATCGGCGGCGGCGCCATCTGCAGCTGATGATGGCCGCCGCCGCCGCACTTCCCGGCCGGGTCGTCGTCGTCGTCGTCGTCGTCGACGCCCCACATCATCGGGCTCTTCCCGGCGCCGCCGTAATGCCTCGTCTTCGCCGCCGTCTTCCCCAGCGAGCCGCCGCCGTCGCCGCAGGCGAAGAAGCTCTCCATCGTCGACGCCGGCGGCTGCTGCTGCTGCAGGTCGAGGTGGCCGCCGCCGGCGCCGCCGTACATGTGGAGGTCTTGCAGGGAAGGGAAGCCCATGGAGCACACGTCGAGCACCGCCGCCTGGTGGTTGCCTAGGGATTTGTACCCCGCCGGGCCGCACGCCACCGCCGCCGCGACATCGCCGGCGGCGAGCGTCTGATAGGCTTTCTCCAGGATGGACTGCATGTACTTCCCCTGCGCTTCGATCCTCATCTGCAGATGCTTCTGCACCTGCATGTCACCAATTAGAATTCATGCCCAATTTTAATTTGTTGGACAATTCAAATTGTCCATATATATGCATGATGATGAGCTTTGCTAATTAGGGCATAATTATTAGCCTAATTAACTAATCTTGTAGTTATGGTAATAATTAAGTAGTATAAGTAAAGGTTCATGAGAATGTTGAGGTATGTAATTTAAGTTGTTGATGTATGCATGATGAGAAGCTAAGCTGGCTGTATGTATGCATGGCAGCATGGGAATGAAGGGCAGAAAAGTGGATAGGTAAACTTCCCTGGTGCTTTATTTGAAAGGAGAAACTTGATGAAACTTCATGTGAATTTGTTGGTGCAATTTAATTTGAATGCATATGCATGTGGATGCAACGCTTTTATTTTGTTAATTACCTCTAGTTGCTCATGTAGCCTTCTTTGCACCTCCATCTGCATTCTGATGGCATCGTTCACGTTGCGGCTGAGAGAGAGAATTTCACACACAAGCAAACACAAAAATGGAGTTAGGAAAGAACAAAAAAAAAGAGTAACTGAACAAGGACTAAGAAAGAAATTAAAATCTTAAACCGGATTAATTCTACAGTACTAGTGTACTGTTACTAGTGTACTAGTGTAGGTGATCTGTGAAAAGAACTTACTCATGGTTCATGCTTCTGCCCATTATGCCTGAAGAAGATGCTGCGTTTCTTTGCATCTCCATTGCCGCGGCTGTGGAAAATTTCAAGAACAAATCAGTCGCCTCAGACTATCAGTTGCACTGGTGGTGGAAATTAAGTTATAACTTCAAATTCAAAACTGAAATCAATCACACTGCATGCTAGAAGATCTTGATTACCTTCCTTAACTGAGTGCTCGCTGAACTCCTTGTGCGGTTGCTTCCCTAACCTGAATTTCTGTTCATGATATATTCAGGAAACCAAAAACAGATTTAGTTAATCATCCAACATAAGAATATAGAATCATATAGATAGAAAGAGATCGAGGAACAAGCTAAGCTAGGAGAAAACCCTAGCTAGCTAAGGTGTGGTTAGCTAGCTAGGTTACCTGGAGATGGCTCTTGAGGTGGTAGAGGGTGAGGCCCTTCACTCCCATCACCCTCATGATCGTCTTGGGCGTCGCCTCTGCGACGACAAGACGATCATCAATTCATCGTAAGAAAGAAGAGATTAATTCTTGTTTCGATTTTTTTGGAGAGAATTGATTGAGAGATTGATGATGCGTACTGTCGGGGCCGCCGAGCTGGGTGACGGCGTCGACGAAGCGCTCGTGGAGCTCCACCGTCCACCGGAGCCGCGGCTTGGGGTCGGTGGTGAGGACCAGGCCGGAGTCGCCCTGCACGCACATCGCCGCCGCCGCCCTGCCGCCGCCGCCGTCACCCGAGCTCACCGCGGCGCCGCCGCCGCCGCCCTTCTTCGAGCCAGGGAACATTCTTCTATGATCTCCTCTCTTCTTCTTCTCTCTCTAGATCTCTCTCGAATTAATTCTCTCTCTCTATAATAATAATAACTCTCTCTACCTCGTCGATCCTTGATCCTGCCCGATTGGAGACGACAGATTCAAGAACAAGGAATAGGGTTCGCTCGCTCTTCCTCTCTCTCTCTCTCTATCTATGGCTTGATCACACTTGTAGCTCTAGCTTGTGCTCATATGCTCTTTAGTCTCTCTCTCTCTCTAGATGGGTTTCTCTCTCACTCTCTCCTCTTTTGCTTGGGGTGATGGCTTTGCTGCTTCTTCCTTTTTTTTTGTCTGTGTGTGACACAAACTTTCTCTTTCTTTGTTTCTCTCTCTAGCTAGCTAGCTAGCTAGCTAGGAGTCTTCTGCTACAAAGCCCAAGGGTGATATTCTCTATCCTGGCCGGGAAAAAGCCACCAAGGCCGACCCCAACTCCATGCCTTCAACCCCTCCTTTAATTTGCCAAAAGATGAGAGGGGCTCTCTTTTGGTTTTAATTGAGTAGTGTGTGCTCATATAATATCCTTTCGACAACATGGTTAGTATATATAGGGCTACATATATGTATTACTAGCTAATTATATAGCATATAAATTTTTATAAATTTTATAACGTTATAAAATAAATTAGATGGATAATTAGAATCGCTATGTAAAATACTGGTTGTTGCAAAAAAAAAATGTAAAAAAATTATGAGAAGGTACGGTTTCGAAACTTCAATAGTTATCATGATAGTAGGTGCAAATAGAGTAACTAACACATATCTAGATATAATTTACTCATAGGGCTTGTTTGGCTGCCGAGGCTGCCGCAGCCGGCACGAACAGCGCCACACTCACTGTGCGCAGTCGCAACCGTCGCAGTCGGCCTGCTGAACAGGCCCATAGTACGTGAAGCAGTACCGGACATTGCACCGTTTTTTGGATCATTACATAGTCTTTCCAATTCTTTTTACACATAAAATAATTTTGTTGAAATGCCTTAATCCAAAGAAGTTCTTAGGTCTGGCGTAAAGGATTCCTATAAACAGATATTAAAATTGGATCAACTGTTATATATGCTTCTGTCAGTATATGTACTATAATGTAACTAGTCATTAAGGATGGGACACAAGTAATTAAGTACATATATATGTGACATGTGTTTGGAACACATTTATGTGGATCTTCTCCCCCTGATCTTTGCAATCTTCCACCCATCTCTTTCAGAATCAGAGGATGTAACAGTTAGTGCATGAAAGCATATATAGTTAATTAGCATCAGTTTTGGATTAAACTGTGCCTTTTGCTCGGCACTAAACAGATCATGCATGATTTTGTCTTTGCGTGCCCCCACACCATTGGATCTATACTCTCTCTGCTTTTTATATTTCCCTCTTTGGCACTAGAAAACAAACCAAGTAAGCTAGTACGTACTGACCTTTATTTTGTACTTATAGTGTGTGCATACCAGGTCCCTTTTTGACCAGGGAGCATCGGTGTTTTTACATTAAATTTGTTGTTTTTTTATTAATTAATTTGTCGATGTTGTTGTCGAGATTTGTCGTTCTAGACATACTTTTGATCATTATTTGACCAAAAACTATTAAGAGCACAATGAGATGTGAAAGTACGTGTTATTTCAACACACGACGACTTAACTGTCGTTCTACAGCGTCCTAAAATGACATTTAAAGCAGAAAATCTACATCAACTACCAAGGAATGTGGGTAGTGTTTATTACTCACTCCAGTTTCATTTTAATTGACGTTTTGAACAATGACACGGTCTACAAAATATATCTTTGACATTATTTTTATTATAATACATATAATAAATATATGTATGTTTACTTTTATTATAGTGCTTTGAAAGAAAAATCTATATATGTTGTTCTAGTCCCTTTAAACTAAATATTTTTAAAGTTATTGATGGTCAAAATTATAAAAGTTTGACCTCAACTTTGTCTAAAATCGTCAATTTATATGGAACCGGAGGGAGTACTTAATTAACCTTTGATTATTTGAGCTGATAAACCTTATAAAAATAAACAAAACAACCAAAAGAAATTTATATGTAAAACTTTAATATTTATATTGTTAGCGGAAAACTATAAAATAGAATATGATGAAAAAACTCTATGAAAAAAACTCCAAATTTTAATTTTGGTTGACAAGCCAATAATTAATTAGACGGCGAGAGGCTTATAACTACCTACCCCTCCGTCTAAAAAAAAGACCAACCCTACCTACCCCTTCGTAGCTAGGAATTCGTTTTTTCTGGAATGGAGTAATGAAAAAAGTCCATACAAATTTAATTTTTTTTAAAAAATTGCCCTTTGATTTCTCACCAAATCAATTACATTTTTATGGAAATACTAGCATCATGTCCGTGCTTTGCAATATATCCCAAGTTCCCAACTGAATATACTATAAGTATAATACAAAATTAAATACATAATTAATATTCTTCACATGTAAAACTATGTAAATATGTGTTTTTTATTAAAAAAATCTTTCAAATAACATAGACATGCATACATATTTACATACACAAAATTAAGATCTACAATGGAAATGGGGGCAACTACAAACCATCATCACCCCTATTTTCTCGTTTAAAGAAAAAAAACAATATATCACATATCGATCATCAGACATTCCGCATAAGTTACATATACACTTCTGATCTATGTAACCTTCACTACATTGGGGTCAATATATATATAGCTTTTTTTTAGAAAATGGGATAAACCCAGCCTCTACACAATATATAAATAGCCAGTGACTTGCCTTCAGAAAAAAAAAAAGGAGCTAGACATGCTTACGTATATATACTCCCAAAAGGACCAGGTAGCTAGTACAACATATATTTTAACTATCTAACATTCAGACATCGACCATGCAGCAAGCCTGCAGGAACTTATCATGTGTAAATCATTGCAATGTAAAACATATTTTGTAGGAACTGGAAAAAAGGATGCAAATGCGTTGAGCCTAGAGCTCGACAAGTTTGGACAAGAAGAGACACCAATCAATGCAACATACATATGTTCACCCAAAAGAAATCAAATCAAAGTCCCCATGTCTTCCAATATTGTAGCTAGCCACTCATCATGCCATTGGTGCCCATGTGGGGCACTTAGAATTCATGCAACTTTCTCTTTCTCTTCTTTCCATTGCTGACTGATCTTGAATGTGGTGTCAGATGACCAGACAATTGATATGTTCTGCATTAGAATGAGAATTTTATCTTATATATATGTTGCACTTGAGCCCTTGATCATGCAACAAATTAATTAAGCAGAACAAGTTAGGGAAGCTGGTGCATGGTTTCATATATATAATGAAAGTCCCTAATTGTTCACCTCAGAAATCTCGTTTATATTTGTAGAAAAATATTAATTAGGTAAACATATATATATACATATATATATATATATATATATATATATATATATATATATATATATATATATATATATATATATATATATATATATATATATATATATATATAAAATCTATTGCAGACCAACTGAGTGTAAAATACAAGAGAAGAAATAAACTGATAGGGAAGGGTGTGAGAAGACATTTTGCACTTGTTAACAAATGAACCCTAATGCCGCCTCTTGCTCGTTCGCGATATAATATGGTATTTTTCGTAAATATCAATATGTTACTGCAGGGTAAATATCAAAATTTTGATGGTATATCAACCTATGTTTTCTCTTATCTTGCTACATGACACATGACAACTTGTGTGTACATAATATATATATATATATATATATATTAAAAGAGAAAACTACAAAAGATCAGCCTAATAGATATTGATGCTACAAGGGAATCAAAGGAGCACATGTTCTTCCTCAATCTCCCTCCACATGTGCTTGCATGCTTACGTCACCACTAAAGCATTCGCCAACGACACCTCAAACTCCATGCATGAAAATAATTATGAAAGAGAAAGTGAAGTTGTGAGAGGTCAAAAATTAGGGTTTAGCTTCAAGCCTCCAAGAGGGGTCCCATTTAGGAAGGGAAAGTAGAGAGGATGAGTAAGAACATTGTAAAGCGCCCGTGCGCTGCCTCACTGCCATTTTCTTTATCTACAAGGGAATATATGCTTCCTTCTTTGACAATTAAGCAAAGATTCTTCTCAAACATTCCTCAAATGTGGTTTTATTTTAACAGTATTGTAAGAACTAGACCTTGTGCCTTTGCTTAAGCAATAAGAAATCGATCGACAAGAGAACACGGGACTGGAGCATGCGAAGAAATACATACGCAGCGAGTGTTGTCGATGCTACTGGTTATTATCAAGAGAGAAGTCTTAGTCCATAAAAATTAAATTTATACTTGTCTCTCTATTGAATTTAAAATTTAAAATTAAATTTATATATCCCTATTGAATTCAAATTAAGTAAGCAAATTATACCACTCGACTACTATGCTAAGCTAATGAAGATAAATTAAATCATATCAAGTTCAATTTAAGACACACTAAGGGTACAAATATATAGTGGTTCAGAGAGGAAAGGGATGTCCCATCCTCCCTAATATCTCAAGCACTCCATATTGGTAGTACCACAGCCTTTCTTATATTTGGGAAAAATATCACTACAAGAAACCAGGATTTTCTTGGCGGCCAACATATTTTATTTGCGGTCAAAAAATAACGGCCAAGTTTAATTACCCTTTGTCTTGATGATTAAAACTAGCCACCTTTGTTCCCTAACATATGAAACAAAACTTTATTTGAGTCTCATCATACCCTCATTTCACACATGTTTATATATATAGGTTCTGAAATTCCTGTTGATATGTATATATTTCATACTACCTCTGTTTTTTTAATAGATGACGCCGTTGACTTTTTCTCACATGTTTGACCATTCGTCTTATTTAAAAAAATTACGTAATTATAATTTATTTTGTTATGAGTTTTTTTATCACTCATAGTACTTTAAGTGTGATTTATATCTTATACATTTGCATAAAATTTTTGAATAAGACGAATGGTCAAACATATGAGAAAAAGTCAACGGCGTCATCTATTAAAAAACGGAGGGAGTATGTTTCTAGGCCTAATTAAGCGTGTGTGTATTAGTATTTTTTGCTCACTTGTTTCAAACAATGCCAATCTCAGGTGCAATAATCGGACGGAATACATGCAAGTTCTTAATTATTGTGTGCGCGAAGTTATATGAGGTAATTAAAATAATCATTGGTTGAATATTTGAATTGATGGATATCCATGCACACTGTAAAAATCTGTTCTATCGTTAATTAATTAAGAAGTAAAATTAACAACCATAGACATCAACATCAATAATCGTTTAAAATGCATGTAACTTTCTCATGATCACTCGGTCTCTGCATTCTTTTCTGCACGGAAGTGGAAGAATAAAGACGATATATTCTCAAGAACAACGCTATATAATAGCAGCCTTATTTGAGCATATACTCAATTTTTAATCAGTGATGTCTTGTTTTGTTCTCGCAAAAGATAATGGCCAACAGT